AAAGGGCATATAAATCACAGCTACATAGTAGAGTTAAGGGAAATAAGGCCTTTCACACATTTACCATGTGAGGCTGGGACGCTGAAGGTCCCCAGGCCTCAGTTGAACACTGAAACACATAGCTGCAATCAGTCGGGCTCACCTGTGTTAGTGTTGTTCAAATAGGTACTAGAATTATAAGAATGTGTTTAGACTTTATTGAATGTTTGCAAGTTGCTGCAAGCATTAATCTTACTTAAAACATCTGTATCCCATGCTGTAAGGAAATATTTGAGCATTCACATTATAAGCCTCTGTAACTGTGTAAATCATCAGACAGGAGAGTGTGAAGTGCTGGTCTCAGAAAGAAGAGTAGAAAGTAGAAAGAAGGTGTTATGTCCTACACAACACTGAAGACCCTTCAGCACAAACTGAATAGAGTGGAACAGAACAAAAGACTTTGTTGTTTACTCTCCCCTGCCCATGAAGAGGAGTCTTGCAAGTGGATTCCTCCCATCAGCTGAGTGTGCAGCTCAAAACAGAAGGGGGAAGGAAAAAAAATCCCTAACAAGAAGGAACTGGATCTCTATGCTGCTTGGACTCTTGGGGCCAGGTTTCTAGATATAAGCCAGGGATCCCCAGCTACTTAGCCTGGGTTAGCCCTAAAGGACATACTGTAAAGAGCTTGCTTATTATAGAAGCTTCTATTACATGTTGAAACTTAAGATTGTAACTAATTTCTGTATGTATGTTTACCTGCTTTAATTTTGTAAATAGCTCTCATTTCTTTTTCCTATTACTAAATCTATACATAGTTTATTAAAGGATTGGCAACAAGCATTGTCTTTGGCCAGAGATCTAAGGTGCAATTGACCTGAGGTAAGTGACTGGTTCTCTGGGACTGGAAGTAACCTGAATATTGCTGTGATTTGTGGTGTAAGGGACCATCTATCACAGAGGCAGACTCACTGGAATGGCAAGACAGACTGGAGTACCCAGGGTCTGTGATTTCATGTTAAGGCTGTTAAAGGCACCTGAGGAGTTTACACTTGATAATTGGTTGGTGAAATCTAAATATAGAACTCACAACTAATTTGGGGTTTGTGCCACGGCTCTCAACAGTCGGCCCTGAGATTGGTACTCACGCTCTTGAGCTATTTAGGACATCTTGACAGAGGCATATTAGAAAGTAGATTCATTAATGGATGAAATTGATGTCTCAAGCACATCAGACACTGCCCTTTTAAAAATGATTTTTAACAATAAAAGAAAGTTGGACAATTATGAAAACTTAAAAGCAGCTATTGATCCAGAACAGATTTTGAAATGCCTGAAAAACAGCAACACACTGTATGCAAATCAAAAGAGCTGGAGGACTTGATCAAAAGATTGTATCACAATATTCTTCTTGCCCGCTCACCTGAGATGGATAACTTTTGATAGGAAAGTTAAATATTAATTTTTGATTATAACTGAGGTATTTTGGTATCTAAGCTGGTAAATTAGCTTTGCAAGGTTATAACAGGGAAGTGCGTAGTTTCAAAAAATAGATAACCAAGTGTCAAGGTAGCCAAGAAGCTGAGAAAGAGAAAGGTCAGTGGATCTAATTTCCTCAGGGCTCATTCTATGGAAGTACTCACTACACTGTAGCTGAAAAATAATGTAATAGAAACAGTGGAATTTTTAAAAGGCAGCATAGCTAGTAGGTAAGGGTGGTCTTGTCTTCTGGGAAGATCAGGGAGAAATATAAAATCCCTTTGCAGATTATTTCTAAATTAGAGCTAACATCTAGTTGTGGTTAACAGGTCTACAAATATTCACTGGAATGATGGCAAAGAATTTATTGCAGAAGAAAGTAGTGAAGGGGAGTTTAACTTCTCTGATGTATCAGTATACTTAGGAAAGGAATTAATTACCTGCAAAATAAAAAGAAACTGAAGAAAGACTTTGACGTTTCCCCAGGGGCAGCAGAACTGGCTTGATATCTGGAAAGCTGTTTTCAGTTTCCAAAACATAAAAATTAAGACAAGTCAGCTAAATTTTTTCCTGGATTTTATTTAACCTCAGTAACCTTTATTTATCCATGGTAACCTTTGTTATTTTTTCTACTGGTAAATGGCAAGTGTGCTGGAAGCATGGCTAAAGTCCAGGCAGATACAGAGTAAGAGGCCAGATCTCTGGAGGTAAACGAGAATGCAAGAAAATAGAAGTCAGTGAATAGATCTGGGGATAAGAAACTGTTACTAACCTGTTCTGTAATTGTTGTTCTTCAATACATGTTGCATACGTCCATTTCACTTCACATGTGCACAGTGTTTTCAGAGATTTTTGGTACGTGTTGTGATGGTGCATATGCCCTCTGCTGCCTCGTGCTACTGTGTGACAGTATAAAGGGCAGTGCCATCCCAATCCCCACCTCAGCTCCTTTTGATAGGACAGACTCTGCTACAGAGGGAAAGGAAGGTGGATCATGGGATGGACATGTGCAACACATCTCGAATAGTAGTTACGGAACAGGTTAATAACAGTTTCTTCTTCAAGTGATTGCACATGTCCACTCCACTTCAGATGACTCACAAGCAGTTTGGTCTAGAGGTGGGACTAGAATCTACCTGGATAATGACTGAAGGACTACCTATTCAAATCTAGCATCATCTCTAGATTGCTGAGATGGCATAATGTGAAGCCAAGGCACACAGTGAAAACCAAGCTGCAGCTCTACAAATGTCCAGAATAGGCACCAGGGCTAAAAGGCCTTCAGAGGCTGCATGAGATCTGGCTGAATGCACCAGCATGCTCTTCGGAGGAGTTACGTTGGCCATGTTGTAGCACAAATGTAAGAGATAAGAAGGCTTTTAATCCTGTCTGCAACTGCCACAAACAATTGGGTTAGTCCTGTCCAAGTAAAACACATCTCACGTGTGGAGTCTCTCCTCATTCCTTATGAGCATGAAGGTTTGGGAAGAAAGTTGACAAATATATTTCCTGATGGATGTGGACGTCAGAACCACTTTGGTGAGAAACTTCGGATAAAGGTGCAGGTGTCCCTTGTCCTGTAGAAGATAGGACTCGGAGGTCGACAGTAGAGCTCATAATTCACCCCACTCTCCTGGCTGAGGTGATTGCCATCATGATTGCCATGCCTTCATGGCTACCTTCCTCAAGAGATGGAGTAATGAACAAGTGGCTAATGATTCAAAAGGAGACATTAGCTTTGTCAATACCAGGTTTAAGTCCCAAGGGGAAATAGGATCCTTTACTTGGGGATAGGACTGGTCCACACCCTTCAAAAACCTGATGTACATGGGAATGCAAAAAAGAGAGCTATTACCAATTGGAGGATGGAAAGCTGAGATAGCTGCCACGTGGACCCTGATGGAACTAATGACCAGACCTTGCTGTTTCAAGCATACCAAATAGTCCAGCACATATACTGGAGCCCAGACCAGGGAAACTCCTTTCTGTTGGGACCAGATGGAGAATTTCTTCCATTCACAAGTAAGTATACCCGGTAAAAAGGTTTTCTTTACTAATCAAGAGCACATCTTGCACCCCTTTGAATAGATCTCCTTTTGAGATGTCAACCACAGAGTATGCAGGCTGTCAGCTGAAAGGCCTCTAGGTTGGGATGGAAGAGGCGACCCTGGTCCTGTGAGATCAGGTCTGGATCCCATGGTAGCGTCAAAGGAGCCTAGTCTGACAGTTCAGCAGAGTGGAAAACCAGTATTGGTGACGCTACACAGGTGCTACGAGTATCACTTGGGTGTGGTCCTGCTTGATTTTTAACAACATTCTGGGTAGGAGTGGAATAGGACAGAGCTTATAGGAACTCATTCATCCAGGACAACAGAAAAGCACCCGAGAGCTCCAGGACTGTGACCTGCTCATGAACAAAACTGATAACATTTCCTGTTGATTTTGATTGCAAACAGATCTATATGGGGAATCTCCACAGCTGAAAAATGAACCTGGCTACATCTGGGCGGAAACCCCACTCATGGTGGCTGGTGAAAGACCTGCTCAACTGGTCTGCCAGACTGTTCTGGATGCCCCTAAGGCAGGAGGCTTTGAAATGGATTGAGTTGGTGGTCACACAGCAGCACTGCCTAAAGGCATAGCAAAGTCAGCCAGGCTCCTCCTTGATATACATTTACATATAAATAATATACATTTTCTATAACCTATTAGGCCATTTGTTTCTTAAGTCAGGACTAATTCTTCTACAAGACAGACATAATTCCAAGTTAAATCAAAGCAGCCCAGCCAATTGTGACACTGACACGTGGGGGTGTTCCTTCCACTTTTAATCAGATGAGAAGGAGAGTTTGTTTCAAAACAGGAAGATGAATGAAGAATTTTAAGAGTTTTAGACCCTTTAGAAACTCCAAGTAGCCTCTGGAGCCACTGGCCCCTCCCCGGCAATCTATGTGTGATCTATCCAGGTACTTCTATGGCCCTCATCATCATAGTTTCTGGTTTTGTTTGTTTTACTTACAAGAGGTACTCAATGATCTCTTTAGTCCCTGCCCGCAAAAGGCAAGCTTCGATACTGGCTTTGTTTCTTATGGGTCTGAGAATGAGTGCATTCTTACAGGGAAGTTTGGGCAAAGAAGAGAGTTTTACACAAAGCACCCATCTGCTGAAAGATGCCAAAGAACCTCATCAATATCATTCTAGAGCTTTGCAATTAAACTGACATCAGGATAGTGTCAGTGAGTCACCAACGGGTTCCCATAGCAACTTGGAATGTTAAAATTAGTTCAAAGAATTGTCTCACTCCATTGTTTAACAAAAAAAAATGAAAAAGCATTTAAGAGACAAAAACATCTGAGGACCCAACTACCTAAAAGCCAGCCAGCACACCCCCAAAGCAGCTTTAAACAAAGGAGACTGGCCAGGATACAGAGGGATGAGCTATCCATGTTGGTCTCCACAGGACTCTGACAACAAGTTTACAGAGCCACAAGAAAGGAGGAGGGAATGGAAGCCCCACTCCTAATGAAATGAAGGAAGGCCCAGAGTTAGGATGAAGCACTTACGAGTTTATTAAAGAAACTATACAAAAAGGCACAATGGCAGCATGGGACAAGGGCTACTCTGACATCCTGTTAGTCTCCAACACCGTCTGCAAGATCTCATCAATCTGGTCTGACTCATAGTTAACATCCTGCAGTTCAAGGTGAGGGAGAACCAGCGAGAGGAGCTGGCTGACATTCCTACGCAGGTTCTTCAGCTTCTCCATAGTGCTGTGGACAAGAGGAGAAGAGTCAACAGTCAGAAATGCAAATGTTAGTTCCAATACATCCCTTCCCTTAACTTGCTGTCTTCCTTCCTATCACCAGTGCCATGGGAAGCTGAGGTTCTTTGCTCCATTCTAAAAGCAGTGCAGCATGCAGATGGTAGGATGGGAAGATCTTGGGGCCAACGCACATGATTGGAAATAGGGGAATGTAACTCAGTTCTCAACTCTGTTGTAAGTTTCTCATGTGACACTGTGCAAATGAGTTCACTTCTCTGTAACAGGGGGGCAACAATACTTACCACACGGAGGGGTTGTATTTGTAAATCATAGAATCATAGAATATCAGGGTTGGAAGGGACCTCAGGAGGTCATCTAGTCCAACCCCCTGCTCAAAGCAGGACCAATCCCCAATTAAATCATCCCAGCCAGGGCTTTGTCAGGCCTGACCTTAAAAACTTCTAAGGAAGGAGATTCTACCACCTCCCTAGGTAACGCATTCCAGTGTTTCACCACCCTCCTAGTGAAAAAGTTTTTCCTAATATCCAACCTAAATCTCCCCCACTGCAACTTGAGACCGTTACTCCTTGTCCTGTCCTCTTCTACCACTGAGAATAGTCTAGAACTATCCTCTCTGGAACCACCTTTCAGGTAGTTGAAAGCAGCTATCAAATCCTCCCTCATTCTTCTCTTCTGCAGACTAAACAATCCCAGTTCCCTCAGCCTCTCCTCATAAGTCATGTGTTCCAGACCCCTAATCATTTTTGTTGCCCTTCGCTGGACTCTTTCCAATTTATCCACATCCTTCTTGTAGTGTGGGGCCCAAAACTGGACACAGTACTCCAGATGAATCTAACTTAGGGTTGCATAGCTCAGCATTCGCACTTGTTCCTTATGATTCCATAAGTGTTGTCAGGTCAGAAGCAGGGCTAAAAACACATCCTGGATGTGGAAAGTCCCATGCTTGTGGGAAAGACAGTTCAGTACCTACAGAGTATTTCTTTCCCCTTACGCATTCTCTTATCCTTAAGGAAGCCAATATTGTCTGAATGATTCAACAGGAAAACTCCATAAAGTGAACAATGTACTGCAGGAGAGAACCCAGCCCTGACAAAGGAACTCTGCGTGGGGTATCCTTCAAACCTGTAGTTATTTGACTTCACCTGTAAATCTCCTCCGTAGCCGCCCTTCTCCTCACAACTAACAATCCTTAGTAATAACCCACTGTTACTCATGCAGCATCTTCAATTCATGGATACCAAAGTGTTCTCCCAGAAGTCAGTTTCCTACGTGGATGTCCCCCCGCAAGGTAACCCATGTTCTATCCCCCCACCTTGGGACTGACTGATATCTATGGTTTAACCCACAGTTCTCACCTTTTCAAGTCTCCCCTCTCTGGGCTCCTGCAGGAGACATGCGCCTCCCTAAGCACCTCCAGGTGCATCTCTGTCTCCTTGAGCCTCTCCTTCAGCTCGGTCTTTTCCTCTATGGTCCTCTCCAGCTGAGCCTTCAGCTCTTGCAGTTCAGCCTGGCGGTAACCCATGTGTTTCTTGCTCCAGTACAAGCCTTCGGTTTCCTGAGCCCTGAGCGTTGCCAACTCCTGTTGGCTTTTCAAGAAATCTGTCTCCAGGTGGCACTTCTCCTGCTCTAGTTCTTCCACCTGAGTTAAAGAAACAGCAAATGCAGGAGCATGCACAGGAAGTGAGATTGCACATTAAGGGGGAAAAGAAAAATTAAAAAAAAAACAACAAACTTTCCAGGGGCTAAGGAACAGGGTAATGGCTAGTAGGGTAAAGAAGAAATCCTAACCCCTACTTGCCTTACGTGAGACACAAGGCAAGGGGATTCTCTCTCCTTGTTAAGTCAGTCTTGATCTTCCCCATCCAATTCCCTACTGCCGCAGAACTTTACCCCTCCTGCCACACCGGAATTCACAGCCAGGTGCTAACATTACCTTGCCCTGGAGCAAATCTCGTTCCGCTGAGACCCTCTTCAGCTCCACCGAGAAATTCTCTGCAATTTGTCTCAGCTCTTCCTGCTCCACCATATCCCTCTGATTTGTGGTCTTTGGTACCTGCAAGTCTCCTCCTCCTTTGTCCCCATCAGGGGGAGGATCGTTGTGGCTCCGGGCCTTCTCAACCTTTGCTTTATCAAGTCTCTCCTCCCACCCAAAAGGGATTAGCTGAATGGGGGCTTCACCATCCGCAGCAGCCTTTGAAATACCAACAACAGCCACGAAGGGCCTCTTGTCCATCTCCTCCACGTTCCCACAGGTATTTACACAGACATTCTTATCTGCTGCCTGGCTTTCTGATATTAAGGCCGGCATTTCCTCTTCCAGTTCCACCTGAACCACTGCAGTCTCCTTTTGCTCTCCTTCTAAGTGACTGAGACTTGCTCGAGTCTCTTTGGTAGGACAGAGACCCCCATTGTGTGAAGCATCCCCAGCTTGGTTGGTGCCACTGAGTGCATCCAGAGGTTCTCTGACTAGGTGGGAGTCTATGCTGTCCTCTACACTCTCATCATCCTTGTCAGACTCGCTGCATTCCTGGTCCTGGTCTGCTTCAGCAGAGCTGTCCCTTTCAAAAGAAGTGCGGGGGCTGGGACTGGTCAGATCTGGGGGGGATGGGTCTATCCGCTCCTGATATCGCTTCCGCTTTTCCAGCAGCTCCTCTTCCATAGATAGCTTGTGCTTGCTGCAAAAGAGAGGACTGGGTCAGCGAGCCTGAACCCACTCTGTACAGCAGCCAAGCAGTGCCACCCCATCCCACTGAGAAAACTAACCTCAGTGTTTAGGGAGTAATGTTGATCTCCAAGAGTAGTCAGAGTCACTTTCCCTCTCCCTCCCCCCCCCCCACTAGTCAGGGGTGCTCTTTGGGGCAGGGGGCAAGCTCCACAGAAACATTAAGACGAGGCCAGTGCTGGAGGCAGGAGACCAGTTCTGCGGGCCTACTGGTCTGAATACACTCAGCACTAACACAGCACTTTGAAAATCTAAAGTGCTATACAGAAACTAACTAATAATCCTCACAACTCCCTCCCCAACCCTTGAGAGAAACAGGTAATTAATTGTTATCCTCATTTTACAGATGGGGAACTTGCCACGTCAGTGGCAGAGCTGGGATTAGATCTCTGGAGTTCCTGGCTCCTCACTCCTCCCCAAACTCAATCCAGAAGAACCCACTGCCCTTCTATTCCAGTATAGCAAAGCCCGTGAATCCTGTGTCCCTGAATGGAAACCAGCTGCAGCTTGCAAACTCTCTCATGAAAAATGTTTGGTTGATACATTTAATTAAACACAACACAGGCTATGTTTAAAATATTGGGCTTTTTTAAGTATCAGGAAAATGACCCAGTTAAATAAAGTTTACAATACATTGTCAAGCATATATTGTCCACATTCCCAAGCAAAATCTGCGCCACTCAAACTGTCAGATGGCTGATGGACTTATTCACACAATTAAAAACAAAACTGAACTTCAGCCAGGAAGAAGCCAGCTCATTTGTAAGTGCACAGTGCACCTACACCCATAAAAACCATGCACGGATCTGGAGAAGCTAAGCTCTCAGACTCGCTCATTCCAGACCACTTCTTAAAACAGATCTTCCCCAGCGGGCAGACACCTTCCTCTCAATCTCACACCGTCTCTGCAGTGACTACAGTGCTTGCTTATGTCGGAAAAAAATAACCAGGGAAGTATTAACTAGATGAACATACATTTGCTTTAGCACAAAGTGGCTTCCTGCTTATGTCCCCCTTTATTCATATTTAGGTTGTTTAGTTCTGCTCCCTGATTGTAAGGCTTCAGGTTTATTCAAATCTCCTCTTGTTGCCTCCATCCCACACTGCTTTACATTTCTCCAGGTTGCTTTGCACTTGATTCTTTCCACTAGGAAAGAGCAGGAGTTGGCCATTACCCCGGCCAAATCCCACCTTGGCCAATTCCATTCTACCTTCTTAAACTTCCTGGTTCAACAGTCAGCCAGAATTTAATTTTCACTTCTGTGCCTGGAAAATCCTAAAATCTGGTATGCAGTCTGGCTGATTCAGAATGGCTGCCATCATTTACCCAGAGGTGGCTGTGTTTTAGTGGCAGGTTAAGTGGTTCCTCTCCATGTATGGTCTACTCAGGGATCTGTTATGACTGGAAGATTTGATCCTCTACAACAAGAGTTTTCCAACTCTTCAACACCATGGAACATTTAAATATGAAGACTTGGTCTACCATTTGCAATGTCAACTACAGCGACTGCTCAGGGGAAAAAGCAGTGTTAGGAAGGTGCTGAATGTATTTTCTGCTTCTTGGCATGAATTAGAAGCTGGAAATAAAAGCACCAGGTAAGCAGCATTACCAAAGAGTACCACTGACAACCTTTTAAGAATTTGAGAACCTCTGCTCATGCCATTGCATTATTTCTAAAGCATTTTAAATTCACTAATGCTACATGTCACTACCCTTGTGCATACAGAACAGGCTTCACCATCTGAGCAGCTCCTCTTCCAAATGGAGCTCTAAAAGGGAAGGTGGACAAATTGTGCCACCAAGTGCACAGAAGGTGTTCTGCAGCACTTAAAAAACTGACCAACGACTTCTCACATAGTAAATACAGACCTGGAGACAATGCTAGGGCAAGCGACAGGAGAGGAGAAAATGAACCTAAAACCCAAGTGAGGTTCAAATTTAACTAAGAAGCTTCTCGTAACCAAAGTAGCTGTTCCACCTGCTCAAGGCCAAAAATCAACTGGATTTTCAGCTAGAGCTCTTACGGGCTGACTTCACAAATTTTGCTGAATTTCCTGTCTCCATCTGATGACAGGAAGTCACATTGCCCATTATCCAGACTGACCCTAGGGGCTGTGGGAGAATCAGAATTGCACCAGTTAGGGTTGCCAACTTTCCACTTGCACAAAACCGAACACCCTTGCCCAGTTCCCGTCACTCCTCCGAGGCCACACCCCCTGTTCTGCCCCTTCTCCAAGGCCACGCCCCCTGCTCATTCCATTCCCCCTCCCTCTGTCACTCACTCTCATCACTCTCACTCACTCATTTTCACCAGGCTGACTCAGGGGGTTGGGGTGCGGGAGGGGGTGAGGGCTCTGGATGGAGGTGGGAGCTCCAGGGTGTGGCCAGAAATGAGGAGTTCAGGATGTGGGAGGGGGGCTCTGGGCTAGGGCAGTGGGTTGGGATGCGAGTGGGAGTGAGGGATCTGGGGTGGGGCCAGGGGGTGCAGGAGTGGGCTCCAGGCTGGGGCTGAGGGGTTCGGAGAGTTGGAGGGGGGATCAGGGCTGGGGCCCGGGGTTGGGATCGGGAGGTGGTCAGGCTCCAGGCGGCACTTACCTCAAGCAGCTCCTAGAAGCAGCGGCATGTCCCCCCTCTGGCTCCTATGCGGAGGGGTGGCCAGGTGGCTCCGCACACTGACCTGTCCACAGGCGCTGCCCCATCAGCTCCCTTTGGCCACAGTTCGCCGCCAATGGGAGCTGCAGAGCTAGTGCTTGGGGCGGGGGCACAGTGCGGAGCCCCCTGTCTGCCCCTACACATAGGAGCGGAGGGGAGGACATGCCGCTGCTGCTGGAAGCCACAAGGAGCCTGCCTTAGCTCCACTGTGCTGCAAACCAGACTTAACTGCCCAGGGTCCCTTTTTGACTGGGCATTCCAGTCGAAAACCGGACACCTGGCAACCCTAGAACCAGTGCAAAGAACTGCTGAGATGAATTTAGGTTGAGACTCTACATATGTAGAGCTGTGAAGGTGGTGGCACCAATGAGATAGAAAAAGGACACTGGTCAAAGTGAAAGGAGGAAAAGATTAAAAAATTAGGACATAATAAGGATTTCTGTTCCTTCCTCTATGCCCACCCTGCTCCCACTTTCCTTGTCCTAGGTTAAGGTGAAAAATCAAATTTGTGTCACAGACTGCAAGAGACTCACCTCAAAGAGAAAGACAAAAGGAAAAACAACTCTGCAAACGTGATCCTGATTAGTTAGTAATATTCCAAACTTCGTTCTTTCAGCATTTAAGGGAGGGCATCATGGGTACCAATGTCAAGGACTGGAGAAGCCCAGTCATGCATGCCCTAGGTACTTGTTAGAAAATTAAGTGAACGACACCATCCCTTCCCCCAGTGTACCGTGATTCACTGAGTGCTGCTATAATCTCAGCACTGAAGGTTCAGCCGAGGATACACAGACACTAGCTGTAGCCATAATTAAACCAGATCGCCTTGCAATCCATTTAGCAAAGCTCTCCGTGTTCCCATTTCAAGGCCAGCAAAACACCAAGAAGAAAGCTGAACTGTGTTCAGAGAATCTGAAGTTAAAAAAGGAAAATGTAAGAGGAATGAGGACAGATCTTCTGGCTCCAGCCAACACCTGCTTTAATCAGATTCTCAGATAATCCTCTCTCACTCCCTGCCTCATGTCCCTACACTCCAAGAGCAAGCATACCCCTCCCCCCACACAGAATCTCACTCACAGGGTGGGTGTCCCACAACAGGAAGAGGGTTGTTATTGATAAGGAGGCACTTGTTTGCACCATCGCACCTACCTTGCTGTCTGTGGTATATTTTGCTCCAAAGGCCCAGTGGTCAGATAGACAGCACTGATCTTGTCAAGAGCAGGGGGAGGAGTGAGAGAGCCAGCAATCCCAACAGGCCCCTCTTCTGTGGGCTCTCGCTTTGCCACACTTGTTACACTGTTATTGTGAGCAGGACAGGGCTCTGGAGTAGCGGATAATACCTGGCAAGGAAGGGAGCATTGAAACAATAAAACGAATAGCCCCTCTCACATGCCAGCTGCAGCTTTGGAAAAAAGTTACTTAACCAAACTGAGCAGATCCACCAACTGGGAATTAAAAGAAATTTTTCCTAGTGGGTACCATCACTGGGGCTCTGCCAGCTAAGACCAACACCCACTCTCCTCCCCCACACCATCTCAATCACCTAATGGTCATGAACTGCACCCACAACACCATCAGACAAGTCTCTACAAGTCCAGGACTGACCCATTCCCCTAGTGGCTACCACTTCAGGGGACTCTGCCAGCTGGATGTTGAACTGGTCCCCCTTGCAATAACCACCTCAGCAGACTTTACCAGCTGAGGACCGAACCAAATTACTGCGCAGTCACTGTCCCAAAGGGGAATTCCTCTCTCCTCCACATCCCCAGTCACTACCACAAGTGGCACGGTTAGTGTTTAGGGCTATAAGAGTTCATCTCCTTCCCAATTCAGGCAATGGTGCTTTAGCTTCTCCATGCCAGGATGCGAGGGGTTTCCTGGTGCTTCTGTGAGAATGTCCATGCACAGAGGGATGCATGCAAGAGACAAACTGACTTTCTTTCTACACATACAAGGGCATGCACCTGGGGAAATTGTGGGATGACCATGTCATGAAAGAAACATGAATGACTAAGGGAAGAGAGGAGGAATTGATGCCACTACTGTGGGAAGAGACGACAAACATGAGTGAGGACAGAGTAACACCTCAGAGAGCCTCCTAGTCTCAAACCAGATCAAATGCTCTGCAACAGTGATCAAAGCCTCATCTACTTACGTGCTTCACGGTATGCATGGCTTATTGGGAGGTGGCTTATGGAGAGGAGAGAAGGTGGGAGTGAGAAGTCCTCCTGTCCTCACCAGGTTTGTCCTTCCCAATGGATCAGGGAAAGACTAATCTAGCATGCGACATGAGGGTATCTTTGGGAAGAGGGCATGCAACAAGACTAGGCTGGGGTTGGAATGGGAGCGGGAAGATGTTTTAATACCATGATGATTGTTGGGAGGGAATTGTCCCTAAAGGACGGCCAACCTGATCGCACGCTGCAGTGTCCAGAGCTGCCCGGAGAACCCATCCTGGGCAGCCGTGTCCGAAAGACAGTGCTCCTGAAAATTCAAAACATCAGTCTTTATATAACCAGATAACCTGAAAGTGGGAAAGGGCCTGAAAGAACCAGCCCTGCGACCGCAGGACAGGAAGAGGGACCTCACTGACCCCTCTTCTGTGTTGAAAGGGGGCAAGATCAAGCCCCTTGATTAAGACAGGGCTTGGGAGAAAGAATGGCATGTGAGCTGGAGCTCCTAAGCACTGTCACACTGTTAATAAGTATGGTGTTAATATTGCTCTGGTGTTTTCATGTCCAAGCTGTGCATACACAGGGGTTTCTTGTTCCAGCCAATACACTGTGATCCTCGTGTCAGCGCCTCTCTCAGCAGAAGACAGAAATAAGGAAGACCGGGGCAGGGAAGAGACTTTGCCATCCTCAACAGCAAAGAGCAGGGTTCCCCACTCTCCAGACCGTCGCAAAGCCTTCTCCAGTCATTTCCTTCCTCTCACCTGGTGTTCCAGGTTCTCCAAAGATGACGACGACCTCCTCCTCTTTCTATCTGCGGTCTGTTCTCTAAGTGATGGGAAGGAAGAAGGCATTCAGTTTCCGCTCTCTGTAAGGCTCAATTGGGATCTGAAGTTTATCTCTACTAGGAGAAACAGTTGGGAGGTGGCACGTGCAAGACTTAGGACTTTAAGATACCTCAGCATGAGTAGAGTTTACTACTACAGTGCAAGAACATTGTCATGGCATCACCTCTGTGACTCCAGTGAGCAGGCAGTTTGGATTAACTAGAGAAGTCTGGTTTCAGAGATACAGATCCTAGAAAGTGGGTGAGAGAAACCAAGGGGACATCATTGATGTTCACTCAGGAACCACTGACATGTGCGCCTCCTATGAGAAAACTGGGACATGTCACCTGCACCTTGAGCTGCTATGCAGAGAGGTACTGCTGTTTCCTTCTCCCCCTCCCTGGTTGGGTTGAGTGGACAGAAGCAGCAGCAGGACTGGGGAGGGAAAACAAAATTGGTTTGCTGACTCCCTTGCTGTTGCTAGCCCATCTGCAGGATGGAGTCAGCAAATACTTAACTGTTTCCTGGATTTTCGGTCATAGCTGGGGCTCATCTCCTCATCACTGGGCTCCTGCTCCTCAGGTGCTGAGCAGCTTCTGCAATGAGATCAGTCCATCATGCTTGAGCATGAGAGAGTACAGTTTGATTGTCGCCTACGAATTCCCCAAGTCTTTAGGATCTTTGTATACGTCTCCAGCTGCTCTCTCAGACTCTTCAGTACTTTATCTTTCCTTATAACCTTTGCATCTATTTCACACAAAGAGAGCTGTGGGAGCAGCCTGGAAACAACAAAATTTAAAATATTTAGAGGAAAACAAGCAACTTACCTCCTAAAATTACACAGATGAGGAGGCAGAAAGTGAAGCTTTTAAGATCTGAGTTTACGGAATCAAGTATTGTTGCATGTGTGTCATTTCCTCTCAAATTATGAGTTACTATGGAGAACAGTGTGGCAATCCCGGTCTCCCATAGTGGCCAATACCAAATGCCTTAGGGGAAAGCATAAGACCCCCATAATGAACAATTAGACTGTAATATGCTTATAGGGAAAAGTAACTCCTGATCCCAGACAGTTAGTGGTTGCTTATAACCTGAAGCAGGAGGGTTTACATCCCTTATATACTAGTTTAAAAAAAAATGCAACTGTGGATATGAATTGTATAAAAATATCTAATTCTACTAAATTCCTTACCTCCATTTTACCTTGTGGCAATGAATTCCCCAGAGTAATTATGTGCCACGTAAACACTGAGTTCCTTTGTCACTTTTAAATTTGACTGAATATTCCCTAGTCCTTATACTATGAGAAAGGGCAAAGAGGAGTTCCCGACTGACCACCTTTACACCATTCATTATTGTGTATACATCCAGTACATCCTACCACTAAACGAGTCGATCCTAATCCTTTTGATTTCTCCTCCTATGGAAGTCTTTCCATGGCTCTAATAATTTTCATTGACCTTCTTCTTTGTGAGACAGGGTGACCATGAGTAGGCACAGAATTCCAGGTTTGGGTTTACCTATGATTTATATAAAACTGTAAAAATAGTCTCAGTAATATTCTCTATCCCTTTTTAAAGTACCTCCTAGTAACACCTTGATGGGTTTTGTTTTGGTGTTTTTTTTAAAACCACAACTATGGCACATGGAGCAGATGTTTTCACTCAACTGTTCATAATATCATAGGTCTTTCGCCTGAAAGGTTACAGTTAATTTAGAAACCATCTGTACGTATGAATAACTTTAATTGCTTTGCACTTGTTTATCTTGCCCCCTGACTACTCAGTTTAAGTAGATTCAGCTGAAGTTGCTGACAATCCACTCATCTTGACTGAAAATTGCATCATCTGTAATCCGACACCTCCTTTTCCAGATCACTAATTAATATATTAAACAGCCACTATTCTAGTCCAGAATATTGAGGAAACCTATTAACCTCCTCCCATGTGAGGACCTGTATTTCAAGAGGGATTTTTGTTCCATACCTATGTTTTCTGAGTGGCGATCATAAGGGCTGGCCAAGTACGCTTCTGTATTTCAAGGTCTATGCAGATGCACATGTACATGGGAAAGGAAGCAGGAGACAGCAAAAATTGGGACAGTGAGCATTTGTACTAAGAGTGGGAGGCAGGAGGGAGAAAGTTCAGACAAGGACTGAGATAGGTGAGCTCCTTACTTGTACTTGGGGTAGGGATGGAGATGACAGAACCACTTCTCAGGTAATGATGCAGGATCAACCTTGTCAGGGAGCTTCCTCCATTTCAGACACTCCTCACACTGCACCCAAGTCTGGTCTGGTCTCCCTCTGGAAAGAGAGATACATGGACTAAATGTCTAGGATACAAAACAAAGAACTACCCCTGCCCTATATTTCATCTCTCGAGTACTGAGAACATTGCGTCCAGAGCTGCAACTGCGTGACTGGCTAGCCTGGTCTACAATTTCTGGCAGCACGTGTCCCTGTTTAGTTTTGTTTTTAATAACTGTCCATTCTCAGACGTTCTGATCCACTCTACAGGTAGTGCCTGTATAATGTGAGCAGCCCCAAGTGAAGCTCCTTCCCCATCGCCAGCAACAGATTCCCTGTAGACATAAAGTGCTTGGCCTTGCAGAGGACAGATAGCCATCAGCACCTCACCCATTCCCCATCACCTCAACCCCACACCTCGCCATGCTCTGTCAGCTGCACATAGCTCCCTCAGAATAGATTGCTCACCTCACTATTGTGCTGTTCACATCAGAGCTATGAAAATGAAGGCTCGATCGTATTAGCACCTAATCTGGACAGGTAGCTCAGCCAAGGCACTGCACATCCCAGCCTGGAACACCACATTATCCTAGTCACAGTGCCCTCCATATGCCTGCCAATGCCCCTCCATTCTCACCTGGAACACCCTATCGTTACATGTCCTGGTCACAACATTAGCCAGTGGACTAGGCTGAGATCACTAAAAACTTATTACACTAGCAGCCTTTGCAGCTAGATCTCCCAATGTGAAGGGATACTAATCAACCCGCCATACTTTCTGTCCTTCCTCAACTCCCCACCTTCTCTGCAGATGAAAGGCCCAGTGCTTTTAATGCTGCACTAAAATTAGACCATCAACATGTTCGAACTCACGCTATCATGTTGGCGGTACTAGAACTACCCAAGTTCATCTGTGCCATCTTCGCCTTCCAGTAAGTGTTGAGTTTCTGTCCCAGGGCAGTAATTGTCCGTCTAGAGGGAAGGGGAGACAGCAGTGAAAATCAGGCAAATTCCACTGAAAGTCACAACAGATAGCACAAGTAACACAACCCAGGTGGAGAAGCAAACCTTCTTTACTGCCTGTCTCTGCCTTTCACTTCAGTAACCACAGGTGCTCAGATATGACAGTGGTGGGGATGGAGAAGGTACTCAGACGTGCCATTGCAGGAACAACTTGGGTTTTGGAACATTCATCTAGATTTGTACCAAGAATAACCCTGATGTATCACCCATCCCACAGCTTCAGAAGTCTGCCAATACCACCCTATGTTACCTGTACACAGGGTTCCTGATACTCATGATCTCTGGGGTCTCACTCTCTGCCGCCCAAAATGGTCTTAGAGCCTCTCATTAGAGCTGGATTGCCTTTTTGTTCAGAGCCAGGGTCATTTCCTTTCCAAACCAAAGTTACGAGCACCCCAGTTTTCACAGAGTTTAAAACCAGAAGGGACCATTAAGATCATGTAGTCTGACCTCCTGTACAACACAGGCTAGAGAACCTCATCCTATAATTTCTGCATCCTTTAGGGCTCAAGGTCAGGCTATGCACAGAAACTAAGGTCTCATCTTTGGCCCCAAAATTCGGCTACAGCATAAACACATAATTTTTACCAAGGAAGACTGAGGCTTCACAGGCTAAGACCAAACCCAAGCAGCTAACTAGTCCTGGCTAGCCTTGCCTGAAACCTTTGGGCAATTCCCCCACACCCTCCAAAGAGAAGCCATCAGGCCCTCTAACATTTCCAGGTAGCCTAATGAAATGTCTCATCCAGCTACTGGCTGCTATATACGATTCAAGTAATCACTGGGACTAAGGCCAGCATCCATTAACTTAAAACAAATTAGATACGAGCCCAAGCATGGGTATTGTGTACAGGTAGAGAGGGTGGAGCAGACATAGGGTTTTCTTCTCCCAAGGAAAACTGCATTTTTACCCTTTGCATTTGGATGAGGCTGGTATATCAGAATAAGGTCTTTAATTGCTTTTTGGGATAGTCTCGCCATCTCCTACACATCCTAACAGAAAATGTCTCATCACACTGACCAGAGGATACCTTAGAATGTAGAGATACCTGACACAGTTATGAAAAGAGAAAATTCAAATTCTAGATAGCCGCGTTCACACTGGAACACAAAGCACAAGCCTCACCCCAAATTACTGTCTCTCTTGCTCTACAGGCCAGCTTGCTATAGGGACCAAGATTTGGGGATGCCTCGTCTCCCTTAACTTTAGGCATCCCCTGCATTCAAGGATTAATTGCATCCATAATATACCCTTTCCACTGATAAAACAGGCTTCCTGGTGTCAGACTCGCACCAAAAGCCCCCATCAAGCAGCAGCATGAAACCTATGCACCTCAGAAGGATGTAAGTTCTGGTCAAGTCAACAATCTAGCAGCTTGGTTATTGGTGGGGGAGGAGGTCATGAAGATGACAGACTAGAGAGACGTTCACAAACATCTCACCTCTCACTTCCTGCTGAGACAAGGGGGCCCCTAACCTCAGCACAGCAGCCCAGAGCTCTGGTAGCTATTTGCACTAACTTAAGAGCAGCTGGCTATCTGCAAAGCAAAGACAAACGGTAGGGTCTGCTCTGACCCCCTCCCTTCACTCCCCCACTGCCCGTTCTAAATTCGATGCTTACATTCATTTGTAAATATTCATCTCTATAGTGCAGCATTTCCCCAAAGTTAGGGGTATGTCCAAATGAGTAGCTGGGGGGAGGGGAGGTATGGAACAGTGTCAATGTCAGTTTCTCATGCTGCCCTGCTAACATGACAGGGTTCAAGGTGGGGACATGACTGGTTTAATTTTCCAGCTGTGGGGTTCAGTTTCTGAAAGCCTGGGAAACACTGCTTTAGTGAATGAAAACACACTGTTCTATTTCAGATAAATCTCAGGGGCATGGTTTAGGGTTCATGGGTGGAGACATGCATGAAAACCAGCACTAGATGAACATGGAGACTACTCCCTCTCTCAACCCAGGACAGCAAGGTCTTTCCAGACTGCTCAGAAACATGGTCAGATATTTTCTGGTAAGGGCATCAGAAGGAAGATAGGCCAACATGGAGCTACTTCATACGTAAAGCCCATGCATAACAGTAGCCCCAGCTGCAGTCCTCCCTTACCGGTATTCCTTGCTTTCTTCAAAGTCCTGTTTGTTGTGTGCTGGTTTCAAGAAGTTACATTCGATCACCCCAATCACGCCCATGCCATCCCCCTACACCAATGGTCAAAAAAGAAGGAAGAGAACCAAACATTTCAGCCATATTGATTACAACAGAAAAGGAGGTAGCACCTTCAGGAGAACAATTCCTATTCCCCTGGAATCCCGGCAACAAGATTCAAGTTACCATACATCCCCTCCCTGATGCAGGAGTTGATGGTAACACCTCTGAATGTGCCATGTACAGCAACAACATGTATCAGATATGAACACTTGGCAATCTCCAAGGGCCTGATCTCAGTCCCCAGCTGGCAGATCCCCTTGAGACAGTGCAGACAAGGAAAGGCATAAGCACAAATCCATAAGGCATAAACCTCGAATATCATCTAGCTTCCTTACTCTGAAAGCCACCAATTTATCTGTATCTAAGATGACCCCTAGAAGCAAAGCAATGACAGCCAGCTTGCTGGTATAGCTATGCTGCTCCATCACAGCACATGCAATTCTGTAATGAGTACACCACTCAGAGAAGAGGGTAGTCTGGCTGAGCAAAAAGGATGGCTTTCACAACTTGAGTTCCCCATCAGCATCTGCTCCTTATAGCAGCTATAAATAATCTCAGGGGACGCACTTGGATCTCAGCTTCTAGACAAGTGTACAATATGGATATAGGTTTAGTAAACGGCTCACGGAGACTGACAGCCCAGTTACCAGGTTCAAGAACTCCTGCGCTAAGTTGGTGAGATCCTGGAGGACCATGGGACCTGAGAGTAAGGATCTAATGGACAGGGCCTATCTCTGATGAAGCCATGTTCCTCTCTCCTCCCCCATTCCTGAGAGCAGAGGGGAAGCACTGATCACTCACCTTCATTTGGCAGCCCACCTTCTCGTAGGACTTGATGAGTCGGTTGTTGTGATACATCATGATCCCGAAGTGACTACTGTTCTTGCAATTAAACCCAAAGGTGATCTTCACCCTCTTGTTCTGAGATAAAGCTCGTCAAAGGAGAAAAACAGCAAGCTCCAAGGAGGAAGAAAGAAGTGAATGCCGTTTTGTGGGAAGGCCGTTATGTGTGTGGTTGGGGGCGCGGGGAAAGGGGCCGCTGATGGAGAACAGCAGAAGGTCAAATGTCTCCAAAAAGAGGTAAAGCCCACAAGTTTTCAATGTCTCAGCCTCATGATGTAGGTTGTGTCATGCAAACGTTGTGCTGTTTAGACTAGAGTAACACCTTTGCTTCTTTAGCAGGAGGGCAGAGCTGAGCATTGGCCTTTGTAGAGTGAGGAAGGCCTGGCATACACAGCCAAAAATGGTGGATAAGCATAACTGCAGCCCATCTGAGTTCCAACAGTTTAACACAGCCAGTCTGGACAGAACAAGACTGTTACAGATAGGTTAAAATAACATGGTTTACCCAAGGTCTCTAAAAAGGCTACAATATTAATTTTAAGCTGGTTATAAAGCAATCAAGTTCTGACCAAAGAATCATCATCAAACTGAGTTATAACCCAGATGGGCCAGAAATGACTAAAAATGTGATTAAATTTGGTTGTTTTGGCTTTGTAAACCAAAGAAACCTCAAGAAATAATGTAATGAAGACATCAAGGCCCACAGAAGTAGAGGAAATTCAGGAGACACCCACTTCACTTGGTTTCAGTTCTGGGCAAGAAATTCTGCTACCAGGTTTAAAAAAATAGAAGCTATTTATAAAGAACAATCTTGTTACCCCAGAAGTATCCTTCTGGTTGGCCTATCCTTGTAAGGGGGTTCCCACATTTACAGAACATATGCAAAGAGGTATATTTTCATTGGGTGTCACCTTATGGGGTTACCTTAAGTGCATTCTAACAATTTTTATTCTTCAGCATCAGGGATATATTACATTTTACTCATGCTGGTTCTGCAGAACTAATACAGTTGTGAGAGAACAAGCCAAAGTCCATTCCTTCTTGTGCATTGTCATCGCTTACTAAACTCCACTTAGGTACACTTATGCTCAAGTGTCACTGAAGGCAGGATCTAAACCTGTAAAATATTTAATAGTGAGTAGGATGCACAAACAAGAAAGGACCCATGCCGAGTCTCTGATCCCTGGCTGAGTATGCAGGGCTGGAAGTTTGCCTTGACTTGGAATCATGGCTCTCTTCTTCAGTCAGTGCGTTCTCAAAACTCACACAAAGCGTAAAGAAAAATTGTGTGTTCATATCGCTAAACAGGCAAAAAAAATGAATGAAATGAACACAGATCTCAAGCTTTCCATTCAGTCAGAAAAAATAAAGCTAGCAATTGAATGCTGATAAATGGGTTAAAGGAGAGCACTGAGCAAGGTTTCCCTTTTATCATACACAAGTTCTGGTCTTATACACAGAAGTCAGGCCTTGGCTTGTACTGAGGGTTCTTCCTATACATTTTTAAAGATGTTTATAGTTTTAAACAGGTTTAAATAGGTTTGTGCCGAAAACATCAGATAAGCCTGGTATTGGAATTCAGTTGCCAGGACTATTGAAGCATGAAGACTCCTTCCACTCATCTGGACCTCACTCACACTTGAAACATGAAAGGGCTTCCATCCAGTAAGTTGACACATCCTTGCCTTCTCCATCCAAGAGTTTTCAAGGCTCCTTCTTGAACTATTCAGGTCAGGATCTAGCCTCTATGGGGGGTAAAGGGAGGGCCAGAGAAGAAAAGTCAGTCTCCAAGTTCATTTCAAACCTCGGCTTCTCTACCCGGCTGCCCCAGGCCACCCAATCCAATCCACCCATCTGAGTACAGATGAGGAGTTAATTTCAATTGGGAAACAAGTGATCCTCATTGTGTGCTACCCTGGATGCAAAGAAGTCACCAGGAGGCAGGAAAGGTCAGAGGCAGCTATAAGGATACTGTGGAGGTAGGTCTGTATACATCATATTCAATATTGGCCAAGCTCTTGGAGATCAGCTGAGTCTTCACTTTCTTCTGTCGCAGAACAATCTGCATGCGAGGCTTCAGGTACAAGATACTGCAGTATGCCTGGGAGGAGGGGACAGGGAAAGAAGAGGTATTATGGACACAGACTTCACTGGAGACCTTTAGAGAAAAAAGTGAAGTCATTTGACAACACAATCAGTCCCGTCTAGCCAAGTAGCTGAGTCCTTTCCAGGCAAACACAGCTTGGATTCCACACCTTTCAATTCCATGGGAAATGCTATATTGAGGGGCCCTGGTTTGTCCGACATCAGCACAGACTCTTAGCTTACACTGTTTCCCTAGGACAGACATAGGGCAAGGACCAATCTACTTCTTTGGTGTAACTCCAGCATTCCTAACTCACCCGTAAGGAGTACTCCGTTTCTGGTGCAGAGGACTCTTGAACCTTCTCAAGGCGAGGAGGAACCTTCTTCCCGGCATTTTCTGATTCCTCCATGCTGAAGTCTGATATCCGAATGTCATACTGGTCTGTAACAAAGTCCAATTCAGGCTTCCCATCTTTATTTCTGAAAAACATGATAAACAAAAATCAGAACATCCTATCCAGCCACTCATTCTGCTCATTCAGCAGCAATAGAACAACTTTATAGCAGTGAAGCTATACAGCAGCGGTCCCCAAACTTTTCAGGGTTGCGCCCCGCCCCACCCCCCAACCGTGTCCGCACCCCCTTCCCTGCTAGCCAGGGCTGGGACTGGGGCTGCAGCTTCCAGGGAAAGGGGAGAACGCGGACAGGGGTAAGGGAGCCACAGCTGGGGGGCAGGGTGGGCCAGGAACGGAGCCAGGGGCAGGGCTGAGAGCAGAGCCCCTGCCGGGGGGATGAAGCTAGCAGCGGGGCTGGGAGTGGTCAGGGGTTGGTGGCCGGGCCAGAACAGAGCTGGGGGTGGAGCAGGGCTGTGTGGTGCTCCCTCCGCAACGGCCCATGGGGCTGGCCTGGCCCCCCCATGCCCCCTCCCTGAATCACAGAACTGGAAGGGACCTCGAGAGGTCATCTAGTCCAGTCCCCCACAATTCAAGGAAGGACTAAGTATTATCTAGACCATCCCTGACAGGCGTTTGTCCAACCTGCTCTTAAAAATCCCCAATGATGGAGATTCCACAACCTCCCTAGGCAACTTATTCCAGTGCTTAACCATTCTGACAGTTAGGAAGCTTTTCCTAATGTACAATCTAAACTGCCCTTGCTGCAATTTAAGCTCATTGATTCTTGTCCTATCTTCAGAGGTTAAGAACAACAATTTTTCTCCCTCCTCCTTGTAACAACCTTTTATGTACTTGAAAACTGTTATGTCCCTTCTCAGTCTTCTCTTCTCCAGACTAAACAAACCCAATTTTTTTTCAATCTTCCCTCACAGGTCATGTTTTCTAGACCTTTCATCATTTTTGTTGCTCTTCTCTGGACTTTCTCCAATTTGTCCACATCTTTCCTGAAATGTGGTGTCCAGAACTGGACACAATACTCCAGCTGAGGCCTAATCAACGGGGAGTAGAGTGGAAGAGTTACTTCTCTTGTTGTAAGCAAGTTACTTCTTGTGTCTTGCTTACAACACTCCTGCTAATACATCCCAGAATGATGTTTGCTTTTTTTGAAACAGAGTTACACTGTTGATTCATATTTAGCTTGTGATCCACTATGACCCCCAGATCGCTTTCCGCAGTACTCCTTCCTATGCGTCATTTCCCATTTTGTATGTGTGCAACTCATGGTTCCTTCCTAAGTGGAGGACTTTGCATTTGTCCCTATTTAATTTAATCCTATCTACTTCAGACCATTTCTCCAGTTTGTCCAGATCATTTTGAATTTTAATCCTATCTTCCAAAGCACTTGCAACCCCTCCCAGCTTGGTATCGTCCACAAATTTTATAAGCGTACTCTCTACGCCATTATCTAAATCATTGATGAAGATACTTAACAGAACCGGACCCCAAACCGATCCTTGTGGGACCCCACTTGTTATGCCTTTCCAGCATGACTGTAAACCACTGATTACTCTCTGGGAATGATTTTCCAACCAGTTATGCACCCACCTTATAGTAACTCCATCTAGGTTGTATTTCCCTAGTTAGTTTATGAGAAGGTCATTCGAGACAGTATCAAAAGCCTTATTAAAGTCAAGATATATCACGTCTACCACTTCCCCCCTATCCACAAGACTTGTTACCCTGTCAAAGAAAGCTATCAGGTTGGTTTGACACTATTTGTTCTTGACAAATCCATGTTGACTGGTTTCAGAGTAGCAGCCGTGGTAGTCTGTATTCGCAAAAAGAAAAGGAATACTTGTGGCACCTTAAAGACTAACAAATTTATTTGAGCATAAGCTTTCGTGAGCTACAGCTCACTTCATCGGATGCATGTTGACTGTTACTTATCACCTTATTATCGTCTGGATGTTTGCAAATTGATTGCTTAATTATTTGCTCCATTATCTTTCTGGGTACAGAAGTTAAGCAGACTAATCTGTAATTTCCTGGGTTGTCCTTATTTCCCTTTTTACAGATGGGCACTATATTTGCCCTTTTCCAGTCTTCTGGAATGTCTCCCGGCTTCCATGACTTTTCAAAGATAATTTCTAATGGCTCATATCTCCTCAGTCAGCTCCTTGAGTATTCTAGGATGCATTTCATCAGGCCCCTGGTGATTTGAAGACATCTAACTGGTCTAAGTAATTTTTGACTTGTTCTTTCCCTATTTTAGACTCTGATTCTACCTCATTTTCACTGGCATTCACTATGTTAAGACGTCCAATTGCCACCAACCTTCTTGGTGAAAACCGAAACAAAGAATTTATTAAGCACCTCTGCCATTTCCACATTTCGTGTTATTGTCCCCCCCCTCCATTGAGTAATGGGCCTACTTTGCCCTTGGTCTTCCTCTTGCTTCTAATGTATTTGTAGAATGTTTTCTTGTTTCCTTTTATGTCCCTAGTTAGTTTGATCTCATTTTGTGTCTTGGCTTTTCTAATTTTGTCCCTACATACTTGTGTTGTTTATATTCATCCTATGTAATTTGACCAAGTTTCCACTTTTTGTAAGACTCTTTTTTGAGTTTTAGATCATTGAACATCTCCTGGTTAAGCTAGAGTGGTCTCTTGCCATATTTCCTATCTTTTCTACGCAATGGGATAGTTTGCTCTTGTGCCCTTAAAAATGTCTCTTTGAAAAACTGCACTGATCCTCTGTGCCCGCGTAAGGGGGCGCGCCCCACAGTTTGGGGACCTCTGCTACACAGTATCCCACAAATAAGAACATAGTAACCGATGGGGCTCTGCTATGTGAAAAGTAAAAACTAAAGTTGCTCCTCTATTCCTGACTCCTAGTGGCAGGATAAGGGACTAACATGCTATTTTCCACTTACAAGATCATCCATGATATATCTGGCAAGCAGTTCAAAGTGTTACATCTTCTTTCACGTTACCCTACAGGCAGTCATTTTATTTATATTGCTTTTCTATGCCAAATTCCACAGTAAAAGAGTACCTCACAACTGCCCTATGAAAGTAGAGAAACATCCTCATTTTATATGGGGAAACTGTGGCACAGAGGAGTTAAGTGATTTGCCTAAGAACATATAACAAGTCTGTGGCAGAAACAGGAAGATAAACCCAGATCTCCCAAGCCCTGTGTGCCAAAAACAAGATTATACACAGGAAGGAGATGGAATATTCAGATTTATCTAAGGTTTCCCAATGGGAACGAGGGGATATCTAGATGTATGACGTAACAAGCTCTTTGTCCATAACTGTCTCTGCAAGTGTTCTACAGAAGTTCCTTCTACTTGCTGAGGGGAAAAGGAAGGAAGGAGAATCAGCTAGTGCTTGTACAAGAGAAGAGACGTGTAAGGCTAAAATCTGCATTTTTGATGACGTACTCTAAGCTGAATTATCCTACGACTATATCCCATTGGCTTATTAAAAAAGCATCTGATTAAACAGAAGCCTAGGTTGGAGGAAATCACATAGAAACCCTAAGATTTCTGCAGTGACAGACAGAGCCTTCAGTCATCCATACGACAGGCTAAATGTGAAATCTGCAGCACTACAATGCCAGGTACAAATGAGCACGATCCAACGTCTGTTTCTGAGCATTAGTAGCCAATACCAACAGCTCTTCCCCCCAACCCACCATCTCACCCTAATCTTGGGAGTGAAATTTTCCAGAGGGGCTATAAATACCTGAGGATAGGAGTTTGATAACAGAAGGGTGCCCACAGGACTATCAGCAATTACTATTATGCCACGAGATAGGAGAGGAAGGCCGCAATAACACTCCAAAGCTAGTGCTAAGTGCTGAAGAATAAATTAAAAGTTTCATCGGTCTGCATAACCTTACACAATTCTGTCAGTGCCCGTGCCACAATGTATACAACACTATCTCCTGAACCACAGATGGAGATGGACACATGCTATGAAGTTAAAAGGAAGCGCTCTAGCAGTGCTTCATTATGTCATAATGATAAAAACCACAACATATTCTGCAGTCCATGTGGGGCTGAGATTGAAGGGGACACTAGGAGAAGAATTTTCTATTGATAAAATAAAAGTTGCACTAAAAAGAAGCAACATTTCACAGTAGCAGCGTGAACATAGTACCAAATTATCTATAAATAGGGTTTCTAGTTTTTGGAGATCATTTTTGGTATATTTTCAAGACTGTCTAGTTTTTATGTGCTAAAAAGTTAAATTCCAAAGCATCTTAGCCCAAATTCTCAGTTTAGAAAATGTTCTCATTTAAAAAACAGGAAAAACTTTAAGCTGCACTATTCAGCTTCCCCCATCACCAGATGTATCGTTTAATTTCTCAGCAACAAATTTAAGAGCATAACCCAATTAAAAAACTGAGGGATAAATTGAAACTTCAGAACTAAACAAAATGTTCTCAGTGCTTCCTCAAAGTAACTGGATGTGAACAATAACTTCAGGATAATTTTATTGGTTAAAAAGTAAAAACAGAAGTGCTATCTATAAATATTTTATAGCATCTTTCTTCCCAAGCACTTCCTAAACAACATGCATGGAACACCTCTGAAATGCTTCTACTTTTAGGGTAGCATTTGGCAGCCAACTGACACAGAACACAACACAATAATAGGTAAAGGGGAAATTTAGTAAAGAGACTTAGGCAGCACCCTACTCTAATGAGCAACACACAGGATCTTTATATCTCCAACCACCAAAAGCAGGATCTTGGTAATCAAAGTGCAGTTCTATTGCGAAAAGTGACTAAAGAGGGTACCATGCAGTTCCGTTACTGGGATCTCAATGACTTCTGTATCAAATATGCTCAGTCTACAAATAAAATGAAGTATTTCTGAGGGCCAACACTGAAAATTCTGAGATTCAAGCTGGGTTCTTCACTTCTCATGTGCCACAAGCTCTAACAAAAGATTTGCAGGCCCTTGGTGACACCCATGCTAACCCACTACCTTCAGCACAGGTGTAAGCCACTGGAATTTAAATCATTCTCATGCTGCACAGAAGAGAATACACTCCAGATGATTCTTTCTTATTAGGGCTAATCTACACTGGCAGCGCTTTAACGTGTCTTGTGTGGTCATGGCACAGCGCTGGGAGAGAGGTCTCCCAGGGCTCTAAAGAAACCACCTCCGCTGGGAGCCCTGTCTACACTGGCACTTTACAGCGCTGAAACTTGCTGTGCTCAGGGGGGTGTTTTTTCACATCCATGAGCAAGGAAGTTGCAGTGCTGTAAATTGCCTGGGTAGACAAGCACTTAGCTGTGGTGGCTCTGCAGGGCTAACAGGAGGGAAGAGCAGCAGCAGAACATATTTAGTTACAAATGCTGGAAGATCTGACTGGGATCCACCCAAGAAGCAAACATGTGGAGTAGGCGGTGCCATTGTTACACTTGAAAGAACCAAACATAGCAAGTTGCATAAAACTGGGTATTTGACCCTGATGCAAATTGGGCCTGTCTAGGTACAGTAACTCCTCACTTAACATTGTTGTTTCCTTACAGTGCTGATCTATTAGGGAACAAGCTCATTTAAAGTTGTGCGATGCTCCCTTATAACCTCGTTTGGCAGCTACCTACTTTGTCCACTGCTTGCAGGATTCTCTGGAAGAGCAGCCCCTCCTTGTGGTGATTAGAACCGGGGGGGGGGGGACCAGCAGCTGCCCCAGTCAGCTCCCCTAAATTCCCTGTAAGGTATGTGGCTCGGCAGCTGCCCAGCAGCAGTTCAGGTGGCCCTCCCTGCACTACTGGGCTGCTCCTGCCCTGCCCTCTGCCTTGGAGCTGCTCCCAGGAGCTTCCTACTTGCTGGCGGAGGGGGGGTGCTGATATTAGGATGTTCCCCTTCTCCTGCCCACCCCCACCCCCCATACCTGCTCTCCACAAAGCGGAGTTGGGGGACAGGGCTCAGAGACAGAAAGGAAGGAACTTCCTGGAAGCTGTTGTTTCCTGTCTGAACTGCTTAAATGGGCAACGTACTTGAAGTGCGGTCAGCATACTTAAAGGGGCAATGCACATCTCTCACTCATGCACTCACCCCCAGCACTTTGGAAAGTCAGCACCTGTGCAGCCATGTGCTGTCAGGAGGAGGGAGTGGTGCGCTCCAGCTGGATAGCGTGGGCTCATCAGCATGTTCCGTTTTTGCACGGAAGTGTTTGCAGCTACTGCCCTGCATCTATTGTGTTTCCTCCCTCTTGCCTCAGTCCATGCTGCCCTGTAGAGTGTGAGGCTACATTAACAAGAGCATATTAACCCTTGAGGGCTCAGGCGAGTGCTAGTTCATCATCATTTAGCAGCAAGGCATTCCCTGGGAAATATTCCACCCTTTTACAATCATTCATTGCTGTGTACAATATTAAACTGTTTAAAATTGTTTTAAAAACTTATACTGTATACGTATACCGCCTACTCCACAAGTATATAATGTCTTTGTCTGGCAAAAAACATTTCTCTGGAACCTAACCCTACCCCCTCCCCTTTACATTAATTTTTATGGGGAAATTGGATTCGCTTAACATCGTTTTGCATAAAGTCGCATTTTTCAGGAACATAACTACAACGTTAAATGAGGAGTTACTGTACTCAATCCTTAGGCTACTGAGTTATTACCTCTTTCTCCCCCTCAGCCTTACAAAGGGCTGAACCTATCATTTTCCACTCCTCCCTCCTTGTGTGCCCTGGCTCCCAGTACCTGCGGATGTTCCAGATGAGGATCCGTGTGCCCTTTTTGCCTGGAATGGCATCAAATTGGGCCAGCAACTCCTCCTCAGTACTGAAGAGCGTATGTTTCAGGATGGCCTCGAGGCTGGGTGCAGAGTCTTCCGTAACAATCATTTTCTTTAGAAGCCACAGAGTCAAAGAAAGAACAAGATTGGCCCGGGTTTCCCCTATCCCCCCTACCAATGAGACATTAAGAATTCAGACATTTCTGCATAGGCAGGGGATGTACGTGGACATAGCACCCATCAGAAGCATGACTAGGTGCAGTGCCAACAGCAGGTGTGTCCAAAGGGGAGTTGAACCATGCTAAGTAGTAACCAAGGGAACTTGGTGAAAAAATACCACCAGGCACCAACTTTACAGGGAAGGAAGGGAGTATGTAAAGCTACGCACAGCTGTTAACTTGAGGAGGCAGCTGTGTATTTAAGGCTCCCATCAGTGTGAAGGCAGCACCGTACACACGTATCGTATCACAACACCAAAAAAGCGTGTTACTGCTGCCAAGGGATAAGACTATGTGGGGGAACAGACCAGACAACTATTAGAAAAGAGGGGGCACTCCACAGGGGGAGGTGGAGATGCAGTTACTGCAGAAATTATCCAGAAGTTATACTGGTCATGGAAATTAGCAGAAGTGCCCATCAGATTCATAACAATTTCTGACATCAGTGCAGGGGAATAATATGACGGATGCAACACCAAGCACAGTTGCTATTATAGGGGCTCTCCAAGTGCAGTGCGAAATTTGCCATTACCCTAGTACCGTGGTAGGCAAACTACGGCCCGCGGGCCAGATCCGGCCTGTGGGATTGCCCCCTCCCCCCCCCACCCATGGCACTGCGGGGTTAAGGCAGACTCCCTGCCTGCCCTGGCCCCACGCCACTCCCGGAAGTGGCCGGCACCATGTCTCTGTGGCCCCGGGGGGGGAAGTGGGGTGCCGCACACTGCCCTCGCCTGCAGACACCACCTCCTGCAGCTCCCATTGGCCGGGAACAGGGAACGGCGGTCAATGGGAGCTTTGGGGGAGGTACCCACCAGTGAGGGCAGCACACAGAGCCCTCTGCCCCCCACTCCCCAAGGGGCCGCAGGGACGTTGTGCCGGCCACTTCTGGGAGCAGCGCAGGGCCAGGGCAGGCAGGGAGCCTGCCTTAGCCCTGCTGTACACCGCTGCCACCCCAGAGCTGCTCAAGGTAAGCTGCGCCAGGCTGGAGCCCGCACCCCAACCCCCTGCCCTGAGTCCCCTCCCACACTCCACACCCCTCCCTGCACCCCAATCCCCTGCCCTGAGCCCCTTCCTGCACACCGCACGCACTCCCTCCCGCACCCCAACCCCCTGCCCCAGCCCTACATTCAATTTCCCCACCCAGATGTGGCCCTCGGGCCAAGAAGTTTGCCCACCCCTGCTCTAGTACTCCATATGGCTGATGCCCTCCACAGATGTTACCTGGAGGCAGCAACACATGCAGGTGACACTGTGGGAGGCTACCCAGATATATCTCCAAACAACCCTCACCATCAGAACTCTTGTGTGAAGACACTGTTGCAACAATAGCGCCTCATGAAACATTGAGCCATGGGCTTCCTCAGTACCACACTTCTCCTACCCCTGCAGCCCCAACCAGCCCCTTCTCCTACCCCTGTGCAGATTCCACAGCCACTCTTGCCTTACAGGGAAGGATATTGTTTTGCTGGTTGAATGGTATCACTGGAACAACAACAGCCTGAGCATGGACACGTTCCAAATAAGTCTGCGAAAGGAGCCCCACGCTGAGTGCACCTCCATTCTTGGTGAAGACAATGGCATCCTTTCCCAGACGCATGGAGCCGGACTTGAAACCATTACCATACACTCCAATGGATGGGTGGTTCTTCTTCACTGCCTTGTCCGTGAAGCCAAAGCTGCAAATCACACACACTCAGTCAGTCAAGTGGAGAGCTGTCTGATAGACAGAGGTAAACAGGAAGAGAATAGATGGAGTGGAAAGTGATTTTAAATGTGGAACTCCATGGTGGTCACCTGACTCAAAAAGTGTCAGGCAAATGAATAATACTTTGCCTTAATACAGCATTTCCCATTTAGCAGGCCAATGCTCAAACCACTGAGCTATCCCAATCTGTATCCTCAAGTGGAATAAAATCCTCAGTAGGGGTTGGCAAGACTGAAGAGAGGCCAGCTTCTCCTCCCATCACATACATAATCGAGGTTGGTTCAGGCATCTACAATGCCTGCTGCCCTGATTTTCAAGGAAGCGTTTGTCACCACTGCCCACGTTTTACTTCATGGGTCACAACAAACTGACACCACCACACCTCACTGATACTGCAATTACATTATACGCTACCTCAGTGTGATCAGCCTAACGCACCAGCAGAGTATGATATGTGAAGAAAAACTTCAAGATGTTGCAATGATGCAGTTTAGATAAGAAGTGCATCTCCAAGACTCAGCCGCTGTGACCCAAACTACTAAAACCAGCCTTGTACTTGTTAAAGGTTCAGCCTTGGCACAGCACTATTCCATTACTCCTCTAAAGCTCTGCATGTCCAATTCACCCATTTTTATAACTCTACACTTAAGTGTCTGCAGTCAGGAGAGCTAATAACTGTGGCTCTTTGATATTGAGGCTGCCTTTGGGGAGGGAGGGGAGAATAAGGAAAAATAACCAGAAAATTCCCTTCCCTCCTCTCATTATCTGTCCTCCACATAGGTGTCTATGTGCCAGCAACTCTGGGCCACACCATCCAATTCTCTTTTCATTCTTTCCTCTTGGAGTGCATGCATGAGACAGACAGTCCTTCCCCTCCCCCATACACCATGACAAGAAGGGTGAAGAAGTGATGTGGTAAGGAAAGAGGGTCACTTTGTGGCTTTGTCACACCTCAATGTAGCTCACCATAGATTAGTCCTACAGAAGATGTGGAAAGCGTCTCTCTCTAGTTCTGGGGAAGGAATTTGAAATGAGCTTCCCATGTGAAATTATCTCAGTCTTAGAATTTTAACAGCTAGAGAGGCCTGCTGTCCCTCCCCCACTTCAATTTCACAGCCACTTCATATTAACTCAAGAGAACCTGAAATGAGAGACCAAGCCATTGCTTTCCTCCCTCACCACACAGAGCAGGAAGGGGCTAAGGCTTCTGGTTTTCACTTCCTGAACCCCCCTGGCTTTTCGGAAGACCTGTGGTTTTGTGTTCACAGCATTTGAAGAAATGTTAGATTCTCTGCCTCTGTCCCGCACCTTTTCTTATCTATCAACAAATTGTTGCAGAGGAACAACCAAACCATGCCCTACCACGAGTGACTATCTGCTTTGCAGATGGCCTGCTGGAAACAGAAAAATTATTATTAGGTCTAATGGAAACCTAGAGGTTACATGACATTTGTTCTGAGAGGAGAAGTAGCAGAACAGGATAATGGATAGTGCAGCAGCATCCAAGTGAGGAGAAATATCCGCAGATGGACTGGAAATGCAACCTAGGGAGAGAAAGGAGGGAGGGCTTGGTGATGCTCCTAGGAAAGACAAAAATGAGCACCAACACTAAGCAGGAAGATGGAAATGTGGGACTGGTGTGGCCTCAAAGGAGCAGACATCTGATGTTCCCTGGGCATCTGCCAGGCACGGAGGTGTAACGGAAGAGGCATGCACAGGAAGATGCAGAAGCAAGCTTTTACTATTTTCTAGTCTATGATAAACTCCTGGAAAATTAACTGCCAGTTCTAACATGCTTCTTCAATGTATAGAGCACCTACTGCCATAGCCACTCAAGCACATCTTTTTGGTGTTTAAGATACAGATTCCAGGCCCTTCTCTACACACAAAGGATGATGATCACACGGCATCTAGTATGACTACTACTAGCAGATACGATTAAAGCACAAGCGGAATAAACTAACCTAAACAAGAGCAAATAAGATCAGCAGGCCTTGTATCACACCCTAAAGTTTGTTGAACTCAGGCTGTGGCAGACTTGAGTGAGGGGTGGAGACTCTACTAAGGGCTTGTCTAAGCTGTCAATTAACAGCACTGCAACTTTCTCGCTCAGCGGTGTGAAAAAACACCCCCCTGAGCGCAGCAAGTTGCAGCGCTGTAAAGTACTAGTGTAAATAGTGCCCCAGCGCTGGGAGCAATGCCCCTCATTGAGATGGGGTTTTTTTAGAGCGCCAGGAGAGCTCTCTCTGAGCCATGAGCACAAAAGGCATGTTAAAGCACTGCCGCGGCCTCAGAGCCAACTCTTGAGAATTTTACCCTAGGAACCAACTGCAAGAGCATCCAGCTGAACTTTACGCCTTTGGCAGGTGACAGGATGAGAGGTCATCTCTTAGAGAATGCTACTGTTAGGGATAAAAAGTATTTTAGATGATATTACAGTTAGGCAAATTTGATATTCTGTGGTTTAGAATAAAAAGTAACAAGTTAAATTTTAATTTTTTAAAAAGTTAGTTATATAATAAAAATTGAATTGAAATTCCTCACTGCAGAGAGTCACACCGTGTCTCCCTCTGCCATTGTTAATGAGAAGGCATGAAACCAGCAATGAGGAAAGCCTACCTTCTTACATCACAGAATGAAAGATTAAAGAAAAGTCACGTTCTCTAAAACCACAAGCCATTTTAACATTCTGAAGGGAAGGGAGGCAAAATGGGAAACTTATCATTACCACAAGTCTTCAGAAACGAGATCATGGACTCCTGATTTATTTACTAACTCCAGGCGACATTTGTCCATTTTAAGCAAATACTCCTTACCCCATGTACTGTACTGAAGCATGTGCTCTTGCTTACTGCTTCTAATTCATGCCAAATTACTTCAGCTAGGCCAGGGACAGGTTGTTACATGAGGAACCCTGCATATGGAACAGCCCTGAATGTAAAAAGTCACGAGTCTTTGGACCATGCACTGTATGTTAAAAAACAGCTTGTGAGAGGGTAAATCTAAAAGCAGTTATTTTAGGATTTTGCACAGTGTGAGGGTGAGGCAGAGAAGAGAAACCACAGGGACAGCCCTGTGTACATCTGAACCAGGATCCCTGAAATCCTGAACCCTGGGTCAACAACAACACTTGCTTGCAAGATCTGAATCTACAGTAGAAGAACCATATCTGGGGTGAATTCCTAGCTTGTTACCTGAGCATACGGTGAAGTTTGTGAGGTGTCATTCCAGCACCATTATCTGTGAAAGTCAAACAAAGCTCCCCCTTGATCTCCACAACATCAATGCAAAGAAGCTTAGCCGTCACACCGGGATCTGAGGCATTGTCTGTGGAAGCAAAAAGCCTGGACAGTTAGGCATTCTCATTGTCCTCAACTATTCCTGACACACAGATCATCTCCTTAGATCTCAGAAATGAAAGCATTCTTGAACCTTCCTTCTCCCAAATACAGGGAAATGTCTGATAAAGGATGTACCATAAGAACACAAGAAAGGCCATACTGGGTCAGATCAAAGCTCCATCTAGCCCAGTATCCTGTCTTCCAACAGCGGCCAATGCCAGGTGCTTCACAGGGAATCATCAAGTGATCCATCCCGTCACCCATTCCCAGCTTCTGGCAAACACAGGCTAATAGCCATAGATGGACCTATCCTCCATGAACTTATCTAGTTCTTTTTTGAACCCTGTTAAAGTCTTGGCCTTCACAACATCCTCTGGCAAGGAGTTCCACGGGTTGACTGTGTGTTGTGTGAAGAAATACTTCCTTTTGTTTGTTTTAAACCTGCTGCCTATTAATTTCATTTGGTGACCCCTAGTTCTTGTGTTATGAGGACTAAACAACACTTCCTTATTTACTTTCTGCACACCAGTCATGATTTTCTAGACTTCTATAATATCCCCCACTTAGTCATCTCTTTTCCAAGCTGAAAAGTCCGTTTTATTAATCTCTCCCATATTCCCCAAAACTGCTTATCACAAGAAAAGAGCTTCTTATCTGCAGAAGGGTGTGTAAATATAAATTATACAGAAAATACAGGAATACTATCATATAACACAAAAGATTTAAACAGAATGAGTTGGGGGTGGGGTATTTTTTATGCATGAAGAAGCCACAAATAAATTATGCGAGTCATCTCAAACAATTGTCAATAAAATTATAACTCCACATGCCATCCTTGTGTATTCTGTATGTGCTATATGCGTTACAGAACAACTGTTCTGAAAATGATTTAGAAATAAAATGTTATTGGAACCCTTGCATTGTAAACCCAGGTACCGTGGTTACCTTCAGTTCACTTATATAGGGCTTAGAGGAAGTCAATATGAATTTCTTTAAAAAGTGTTTTCTATACATAAAAAGATCATGATTTTAAGATTGTATCTTGAGACCTTCCAGGGCTAGAAGGAAGTGTCCCAAGAGGAAGCTCTCTTGTAATCCTGAAGGGTCAAAAAATATCAGACCTTAAGCCCAAGCAGGACTGGTCACAGCCAATCTTGAGCAACAGGCATGTAGAATTTGAGAAAACTGGTGGCGGGAATGCTGCATGTGAGGTGAAAGCAAGAATCACTCGAGCAGGTTGCTTAAAAAAAAATTAATATGACTGGCTATTTGTAGCTGCTCCGAAGTTTGTACAGTTGGAAATTGTGCTGAAGGAACATGGACTGATGGTCGGAGGAGGCAATCAAAGAATGTATGATAATTGCAAAACCACGGTAATGTGTGTTATATTCTATAAGTAGACACACACCACAAAAGTGATGACAATATTTACCGTATCATGGGATAAGTAGTGAACATGCCCCTTTGATCGCCATTATTCCATCTCACCTGGGATTTATTCTAACATTCCAAATTTCTGAGCAGGTTCATACAGCCAACATTTTGTTTTTTTTAAGTTTCCTGTCCTTGAATATTTCATCCTTCTGCATCCAATTGTGGAACTTTCCATCAAATCATGCCTGCCTGAGGCCCAGGACATGTAAAGTTCAAACCCCAGATGCTGCAAGAGCGGTTTCCACTACCCTATGCTAACCTGCTTGTGACTCCTTGTCCTCAGTGCTTGCTCAGAGTTTTCTCAAGCAGCATGGAACTGCAGCTTTACTGCTGTCCATAGGGTTCCGAATAGCAACAGGAAAATATAGCAGTGTTCTTAATTTTACATTCCTGTTCTTGGACAAGACACAGAGACACTGAAGCCATCTGTCTGCAGACTCAGGCAGGCATCACTGCACAAGTCACATTCAGGTCAATAAGAGCTTCAAACATATGGGTCAAGAACTGAGTCATTGTTAAATGAGGAGAGAGCTGAGACTCAGATGCCTGCTTCACCTCTCACTGGCAGAGCTGCCCCTGCCCAGCACATGCACAGTGACTTAGCACAGAGGTTCTCAACCGTTCCAGACTACTATTCTACTTTCAGAAATATGATTTGTCCTCCATACCCCAAGTTTCTCCTCACTTGAAAACTCGGGCTTCGTGTTTCTGCCCTGGGCCAAAGTGAGTCTAACACTGGCCCTGGCGACCCCAGTAAAATGGGCTCAACCAGTTTGAGAACCACTAATATAGTATATAGAACTGGTACAAGTGCCATGAACATTCTCCACAGAGTCCTCCAACGTGTCCCCCCCACCCTGCCCTGCCCCTACCACAGCACAGCTACCAGTGCCCTGAACACCCTCCCCAGGGCCCTCCAAGCCCCCTGCCCTGCCCCCCACAGCACAGCTACCAGTGCCCTGAACACCCTCCCCAGAGCCCTCCAAGCCCCCTGCCCTGCCCCCCACAGCACAGCTACCAGTACCCTGAACACCCTCCCCAGAGTCCTCCAACCCCCCTGCCCTGCCCCCTACCGCACAGCTACCGGTGCCCTGAACACCCTCCCCAGCGTCCTCCAAGCCCCCTGCCCTGCCCCCACAGCACAGCTACCAGTACCCTGAACACCCTCCCCAGCGCCCTCCAACCCCCCTGCCCTGCCCCCACAGCACAGCTACCGGTGCCCTGAACACCCTCCCCAGAGCCCTCCAACCCCCCTGCCCTGCCCCCTACCGCACAGCTACCGGTGCCCTGAACACCCTCCCCAGAGCCCTCCAAGCCCCCTGCCCTGCCCCCCACAGCACAGCTACCGGTGCCCTGAACACCCTCCCCAGAGTCCTCCAACCCCCCTGCCCTGCCCCCTACCGCACAGCTACCGGTGCCCTGAACACCCTCCCCCAGAGCCCTCCAAGCCCCCTGCCCTGCCCCCACAGCACAGCTACCGGTGCCCTGAACACCCTCCCCAGAGCCCTCCAACCCCCCTGCCCTGCCCCCTACCGCACAGCTACCAGTGCCCTGAACACCCTCCCCAGAGCCCTCCAAGCCCCCTGCCCTGCCCCCCACAGCACAGCTACCAGTGCCCTGAACACCCTCCCCAGCGTCCTCCAACCCCCCTGCCCTGCCCCCACAGCACAGCTACCGGTGCCCTGAACATCCTCCCCAGCGCCCTCCAACCCCCCTGCCCTGCCCCCACAGCACAGCTACCGGTGCCCTGAACACCCTCCCCAGAGCCCTCCAACCCCCCTGCCCTGCCCCCTACCGCACAGCTACCGGTGCCCTGAACACCCTCCCCCAGAGCCCTCCAACCCCCCTGCCCTGCCCCCTACTGCACAGCTACCGGTGCCCTGAACACCCTCCCCAGAGCCCTCCAACCCCCCTGCCCTGCCCCCTACCGCACAGCTACCGGTGCCCTGAACACCCTCCCCAGAGCCCTCCAAGCCCCCTCCCCTGCCCCCCACAGCACAGCTACCAGTACCCATAACACCCTCCCCAGCGCCCTCCAACCCCCCCTGCCCTGCCCCCTACCGCACAGCTACCGGTGCCCTGAACACCCTCCCCCAGAGCCCTCCAACCCCCCTGCCCTGCCCCCACAGCACAGCTACCGGTGCCCTGAACACCCTCCCCAGAGCCCTCCAAGCCCCCTGCCCTGCCCCCCACAGCACAGCTACCAGTACCCTGAACACCCTCCCCAGCGTCCTCCAACACCCCTGCCCTGCCCCCCACAGCACAGCTACCAGTGCCCTGAACACCCTCCCCAGCGCCCTCCAAGCCCCCTGCCCTGCCCCCCACAGCACAGCTACCAGTACCCTGAACACCCTCCCCCAGAGTCCTCCAACCCCCCTGCCCTGCCCCCTACCGCACAGCTACCGGTGCCCTGAACACCCTCCCCAGCGTCCTCCAAGCCCCCTGCCCTGCCCCCACAGCACAGCTACCAGTACCCTGAACATCCTCCCCAGCGCCCTCCAACCCCCCTGCCCTGCCCCCCACAGCACAGCTACCGGTGCCCTGAACACCCTCCCCAGAGCCCTCCAACCCCCCTGCCCTGCCCCCTACCGCACAGCTACCGGTGCCCTGAACACCCTCCCCAGCGTCCTCCAACCCCCCTGCCCTGCCCCCCACAGCACAGCTACCAGTACCCTGAACACCCTCCCCAGCGCCCTCCAACCCCCTGCCCTGCCCCCTACCGCACAGCTACCAGTGCCCTGAACACCCTCCCCAGAGCCCTCCAAGCCCCCTGCCCTGCCCCCCACAGCACAGCTACCAGTGCTCTGAACACCCTCCCCAGCGTCCTCCAACCCCCCTGCCCTGCCCCCACAGCACAGCTACCGGTGCCCTGAACATCCTCCCCAGCGCCCTCCAACCCCCCTGCCCTGCCCCCACAGCACAGCTACCGGTGCCCTGAACACCCTCCCCAGAGCCCTCCAACCCCCCTGCCCTGCCCCCTACCGCACAGCTACCGGTGCCCTGAACACCCTCCCCAGAGCCCTCCAACCCCCCTGCCCTGCCCCCTACTGCACAGCTACCGGTGCCCTGAACACCCTCCCCAGAGCCCTCCAACCCCCCTGCCCTGCCCCCTACCGCACAGCTACCGGTGCCCTGAACACCCTCCCCCAGAGCCCTCCAAGCCCCCTCCCCTGCCCCCCACAGCACAGCTACCAGTACCCATAACACCCTCCCCAGCGCCCTCCAACCCCCCCTGCCCTGCCCCCCTACCGCACAGCTACCGGTGCCCTGAACACCCTCCCCAGAGCCCTCCAACCCCCCTGCCCTGCCCCCACAGCACAGCTACCGGTGCCCTGAACACCCTCCCCAGAGCCCTCCAAGCCCCCTGCCCTGCCCCCCCACAGCACAGCTACCAGTACCCTGAACACCCTCCCCCAGCGTCCTCCAACACCCCTGCCCTGCCCCCCACAGCACAGCTACCGGTGCCCTGAACACCCTCCCCCAGAGCCCTCCAACCCCCCTGCCCTGCCCCCTACCGCACAGCTACCGGTGCCCTGAACACCCTCCCCAGAGCCCTCCAACCCCCCTGCCCTGCCCCCTACTGCACAGCTACCGGTGCCCTGAACACCCTCCCCAGAGCCCTCCAACCCCCCTGCCCTGCCCCCTACCGCACAGCTACCGGTGCCCTGAACACCCTCCCCAGAGCCCTCCAAGCCCCCTCCCCTGCCCCCCACAGCACAGCTACCAGTACCCATAACACCCTCCCCAGCGCCCTCCAACCCCCCCCTGCCCTGCCCCCTACCGCACAGCTACCGGTGCCCTGAACACCCTCCCCAGAGCCCTCCAACCCCCCTGCCCTGCCCCCACAGCACAGCTACCGGTGCCCTGAACACCCTCCCCAGAGCCCTCCAAGCCCCCTGCCCTGCCCCCCACAGCACAGCTACCAGTACCCTGAACACCCTCCCCAGCGTCCTCCAACACCCCTGCCCTGCCCCCCACAGCACAGCTACCAGTGCCCTGAACACCCTCCCCAGCGCCCTCCAAGCCCCCTGCCCTGCCCCCCACAGCACAGCTACCAGTACCCTGAACACCCTCCCCAGAGTCCTCCAACCCCCCTGCCCTGCCCCCTACCGCACAGCTACCGGTGCCCTGAACACCCTCCCCAGCGTCCTCCAAGCCCCCTGCCCTGCCCCCCACAGCACAGCTACCAGTACCCTAAACACCCTCCCCAGCGCCCTCCAACCCCCCTGCCCTGCCCCCACAGCACAGCTACCGGTGCCCTGAACACCCTCCCCAGAGCCCTCCAACCCCCCTGCCCTGCCCCCTACCGCACAGCTACCGGTGCCCTGAACACCCTCCCCCAGAGCCCTCCAACCCCCCTGCCCTGCCCCCTACCGCACAGCTACCGGTGCCCTGAACACCCTCCCCAGCGTCCTCCAACCCCCCTGCCCTGCCCCCTACCGCACAGCTACCGGTGCCCTGAACACCCTCCCCAGAGCCCTCCAAGCCCCCTGCCCTGCCCCCACAGCACAGCTACCGGTGCCCTGAACACCCTCCCCAGAGCCCTCCAACCCCCCTGCCCTGCCCCCTACCGCACAGCTACCAGTGCCCTGAACACCCTCCCCCAGAGCCCTCCAAGCCCCCTGCCCTGCCCCCCACAGCACAGCTACCGGTGCCCTGAACACCCTCCCCAGAGTCCTCCAACCCCCCTGCCCTGCCCCCTACCGCACAGCTACCGGTACCCTGAACACCCTCCCCAGAGCCCTCCAACCCCCCTGCCCTGCCCCCTACCGCACAGCTACCGGTGCCCTGAACACCCTCCCCCAGAGCCCTCCAAGCCCCCTGCCCTGCCCCCCACAGCACAGCTACCAGTACCCTGAACACCCTCCCCAGAGCCCTCCAACCCCCCTGCCCTGCCCCCACAGCACAGCTACCGGTGCCCTGAACACCCTCCCCAGCGCCCTCCAACCCCACTGCCCTGCCCCCTACCGCACAGCTACCGGTGCCCTGAACACCCTCCCCAGAGCCCTCCAAGCCCCCTGCCCTGCCCCCACAGCACAGCTACCGGTGCCCTGAACACCCTCCCCAGAGCCCTCCAAGCCCCCTGCCCTGCCCCCACAGCACAGCTACCGGTGCCCTGAACACCCTCCCCAGCGTCCTCCAACCCCCCTGCCCTGCCCCCCACAGCACAGCTACCAGTGCCCTGAACACCCTCCCCCAGCGCCCTCCAACCCCCCTGCCCTGCCCCCACAGCACAGCTACCGGTGCCCTGAACACCCTCCCCCAGCGTCCTCCAAGCCCCCTGCCCTGCCCTGCCCCCCACAGCACAGCTACCAGTACCCTGAACACCCTCCCCAGCGCCCTCCAACCCCCCTGCCCTGCCCCCCACAGCACAGCTACCAGTACCCTGAACACCCTCCCCAGCGTCCTCCAACCCCCCTGCCCTGCCCCCCACAGCACAGCTACCAGTACCCTGAACACCCTCCCCAGCGCCCTCCAACCCCCTGCCCTGCCCCCTACCGCACAGCTACCGGTGCCCTGAACACCCTCCCCAGAGCCCTCCAAGCCCCCTGCCCTGCCCCCCACAGCACAGCTACCAGTGCCCTGAACACCCTCCCCAGCGCCCTCCAACCCCCCTGCCCTGCCCCCTACCGCACAGCTACCGGTGCCCTGAACACCCTCCCCAGAGCCCTCCAACCCCCCTGCCCTGCCCCCACAGCACAGCTACCGGTGCCCTGAACACCCTCCCCAGCGCCCTCCAACCCCCCTGCCCTGCCCCCACAGCACAGCTACCGGTGCCCTGAACATCCTCCCCAGAGCCCTCCAACCCCCCTGCCCTGCCCCCTACCGCACAGCTACCGGTGCCCTGAACACCCTCCCCAGAGCCCTCCAACCCCCCTGCCCTGCCCCCTACCGCACAGCTACCGGTGCCCTGAACATCCTCCCCAGAGCCCTCCAACCCCCCTGCCCTGCCCCCTACTGCACAGCTACCGGTGCCCTGAACACCCTCCCCAGAGCCCTCCAACCCCCCTGCCCTGCCCCCTACCGCACAGCTACCGGTGCCCTGAACACCCTCCCCCAGAGCCCTCCAACCCCCCTGCCCTGCCCCCACAGCACAGCTACCAGTGCCCTGAACACCCTCCCCAGCGTCCTCCAAGCCCCCTGCCCTGCCCCCACAGCACAGCTACCGGTGCCCTGAACACCCTCCCCAGCGCCCTCCAAGCCCCCTGCCCTGCCCCCACAGCACAGCTACCAGTGCCCTGAACACCCTCCCCAGAGCCCTCCAACCCCCCCTGCCCTGCCCCCACAGCACAGCTACCGGTGCCCTGAACACCCTCCCCAGCGCCCTCCAAGCCCCCTGCCCTGCCCCCCCACAGCACAGCTACCGGTGCCCTGAACACCCTCCCCAGCGCCCTCCAACCCCCCTGCCCTGCCCTGCCCCCCTACCGCACAGCTACCGGTGCCCTGAACACCCTCCCCAGAGCCCTCCAACCCCCCTGCCCTGCCCCCTACCGCACAGCTACCGGTGCCCTGAACACCCTCCCCAGCGCCCTCCAACCCCCCCTGCCCTGCCCCCCACAGCACAGCTACCGGTGCCCTGAACACCCTCCCCAGCGCCCTCCAACCCCCCTGCCCTGCCCCCACAGCACAGCTACCGGTGCCCTGAACATCCTCCCCAGAGCCCTCCAACCCCCCTGCCCTGCCCCCCTACCGCACAGCTACCGGTGCCCTGAACACCCTCCCCAGCGCCCTCCAACCCCCCTGCCCTGCCCCCTACCGCACAGCTACCGGTGCCCTGAACACCCTCCCCCAGAGCCCTCCAACCCCCCTGCCCTGCCCCCCACAGCACAGCTACCGGTGCCCTGAACACCCTCCCCAGCGTCCTCCAACCCCCCTGCCCTGCCCCCACAGCACAGCTACCAGTGCCCTGAACACCCTCCCCAGAGCCCTCCAACCCCCCTGCCCTGCCCCCTACCGCACAGCTACCGGTGCCCTGAACACCCTCCCCAGCGCCCTCCAACCCCCCCCTGCCCTGCCCCCACAGCACAGCTACCGGTGCCCTGAACACCCTCCCCAGCGCCCTCCAACCCCCCTGCCCTGCCCCCCACAGCACAGCTACCGGTGCCCTGAACACCCTCCCCAGTGCTCTGCCCCCCCGCTCCCCGAGCAACCCCACTGCGCAGCCGGCCTCACCCAGCAGCTCGGCCATGGCGCTGAAGGGCCGCGTGTGGCTGGTGCTGTTGCTCTGCAGGTAGCGCGGGCTCATCTGCGGGGACAGTGACAGAGAGGGACGGTCAGGGCCAGACTCCCGCAGGCCGGGCCCCACCGCCCCGCACCCGGACCCCCCACCTACCGCGCTGAGGCGGATACCCTGCTCCGTGTTCAGCCTCCGGGCCATGGCGGCCCAGCGCTCCGCGCCGCGGGCTCCAGCGGGAGGCGAGGAGCCGCGGAGTCGCGCAGTGACAGCTCGGACTGCAGCAAAGCCGAGAGCCCCCTTCCCCCTCAACCGCAGCAATATGGCGGCCCCCGGCCAGCAGATCCCCTCCCGCGCCGTACAGCAACATGGCGGTCCCTGCTAGGTGTCCGCAGCCGTACAGCAACATGGAGGTTTTCACGTCCTGCGCTACGGCAATACAGATGCCCCCTTCACTCTGCCGTACAGAAAGATGGCGACCTCCGAAGGGACATTTCCACATCCGTAAGGCAACATGGCGGCCTTCTCACCTAGCCAACTGAGAGATCCCCCACATGGTGCTCCCTAGAGGCCTGGACCTATTTGCATACCCACCGTCTGGGGCAGCAGCCCTTCTGTCTCCGAGAGCTGCCCCCACGCTGGCTCTCCTGTAACTAGGATTCCCATATGTGGCCCTCCCCTCAGACGTTCTTGTTAAACCCTGGATTTGTGTTGGCAATAGCCCCACTTGATTATCATACACATTGTAAGGAGAGTGATCACTTTAGATAAGCTATTACCAGCAGGAGAGTGGGGTGGGAGGAGGTATTGTTTCATGGGCTCTGTGTATATAATGTCTTCTGCAGTTTCCACAGTATGCATCCGATGAAGTGAGCTGTAGCTCACGAAAGCTTATGCTCAAATAAATGAGTTAGTCTCTAAGGTGCCACAAGTACTCCTTTTCTTTTTGCGAATACAGACTAACACGGCTGTTCCTCTGAAACATACTCTGAAACCTGTCATATGTTTCAGAGTAACAGCCGTGTATTCGCAAAAAGAAAAGGAGGACTTGTGGCACCTTAGAGACTAACCCATTTATTTGAGCATAAGCTTTCGTGAGCTACAGCTCACTTCATCGGATGCATACTGTGGAAACTGCAGAAGACATTATATACACAGAGCCCATGAAACAATACCTCCTCCCACCCCACTCTCCTGCTGGTAATAGCTTACACATTGTAAGGAGAGTGATCACTTTAGGTATGATAATCAAGTTGGGCCATTTCCAGCACAAATCCAGGGTTTAACAAGAACGTGGGGGTGGGGGGGGGGGGGGGAAACAAGGGGAAATAGGTTACCTTGCATAATGACTTAGCCACTCCCAGTCTCTATTCAAGCCTAAGTTAATTGTATCCAATTTGCAAATGAATTCCAATTCAACAGTCTCTCGCTGGAGTCTGGATTTGAAGTTTTTTTGTTGTAATATTTCAACTTTCATGTCTGTAGTCGCGTGACCAGAGAGATTGAAGTGTTCTCCGACTGGTTTATGAATGTTATAATTCTTGACATCTGATTTGTATCCATTTATTCTTTTACGTAGAGACTGTCCAGTTTGACCAATGTACACGGCAGAGGGGCATTGCTGGCACATGATGGCATATATCACATTGGTGGATGTGCAGGTGAACGAGCCTCTGATAGTGTGGCTGATGTTATTAGGCCCTGGGATGGTGTCCCCTGAATAGATATGTGGGCACAGTTGGCCACGGGCTTTGTTGCAAGGACAGGTTCCTGGGTTAGTGGTTCTGTTGTGTGGTATGTGGTTGCTGGTGAGTATTTGCTTCAGGTTGGGGGGCTGTCTTTAGGCAAAGACTGGCCTGTCTCCCAAGATTTGTGAGACTGTTGGGTCATCCTTCAGGATAGGCTGTAGATCCTTAATAATGCGTTGGAGGGGTTTTAGTTGGGGGCTGAAGGCGACGGCTAGTGGCGTTCTGTTATTTTCTTTGTTAGGCCTGTCCTAACCTGAATTTGTGCTGGAAATAGCCCAACTTGATTATCATACACATTGTAAGGAGAGTGATCACTTTAGATAAGCTATTACCAGCAGGAGAGTGGGGGAGTATTTTTTCATGCTTTGTGTGTATAAAAAAATCTTCTACACTTTCCACAGTATGAATCCGATGAAGTGAGCTGTAGCTCACAAAAGCTTATGCTCAAATAAATTGGTTAGTCTCTAAGTTGCCACAAGTACTCCTTTTCTTTTTAGGATTCCCATATGTTCAGGTCAGGAAACCAATCTCTATCAGGGAAGATTTTTGAAATATGAGTAAAGGTCTGTGATTTTGCCAGCGGTACTTACGCACTGCCCCGAAAGTGGCAGCTGCTAGTTGGGCACCCAGCTCTGAAGGCAGTGCCTTCGCCCTACCCCAGCTCCCCTTCCCCTCAGCAGCGTTCTCTATTTGGGAATTTGAAATACAGTAACCCCCTAACCCTACTCCTGTACTGCCAATCTCAAGAGATCAAAAATCATGAGTCAGACCCAAAAAATCATGAGTTTAGGGCTTTTTTTAAAAGGACTATATTGTGGTTTTTGGTCTGTCTTGATTTTTGAACTTACCCTGCCCAAACTCAGTGCATACATGTAACAATTAGTGCACCCCACTTGCCCAAATGTATTAGGTAAGGTGATTTTGGCCCCCGTTGCTAGAGCTCTCACCCTATCCCCCAGTCCCACTATCAGTTCTGTATGATCATTAAAGTGTGCACATGTTCACGGAAGCGTGGTAAGCATGTACACGGAAAGGTGTAAACTGAATTAAAAGACTCGCTCATGAAAGGAAACAAAATGGATAAACTAGACCTACCTCTGGCATGTCCCTCTGTTTTCTACTCTCTTTTAAAGCGGAAGAAAATTCCACCTTCTCCATTTCCTATGAAATTCAATTTAAATCCCAGCCAGTGCTGAGCTTGGAACCATCCCCATTGTGATGCACAAACATTCCGTGGCAATGTGAACTAAGCAGGCTGAGGTCACCAGACAGGGCCTCAAAGGAACTCTGGTGTTCGAAGAGTCCAAGAAAGCTCCTCAGACGTTGTGCCTATCACGCTGCTGTTTTGAAGAATTAGGCCTCCAGAGTTTGTAAGGGCAAAGGTGGTCAGAACCAAAGCCAGAGAGCTCTGTTGTAGTGTGTAGGGCATTCTTCAAGGCTGGATGTAGTAACACTTCCACATTCTGCTTGTTTTGCTCTAAAGCCATCGCCCCCAGCATTACAAGTAGGACACTACACATCACTCCATTTGACGTTTGAACTCAAGCCTGGATCTTGCACATGGCACATGATGAAAGGCTACCGAGAGCTGACAAGAGACAATAGCTAGAAAAAAATCAAACTGACAGGCTAGGGGGAGACTAGACAAGGGGAGAAAAAAGCAACAGACAGCAGGGCTAATAGCTGGACGTTTGGGGAAGGAACCAGCTGTTATAGGGAATTTGCATCCCTTCTGGGTGTGTGGCAGGTGTTGCACAGCTCATCTCTGTTAAAGCCATGAAATCTGGTTCCATCAATCAGAGGGCAAGGGGATCTCAAATGCTTCTCTCCAGAAACAGTCAGGTTGGTGGGGAAGAAGCATTACAATAACCTGCCATATTTACTGACAGAGGAGGCTGTTCCTGAAGAAAACCGCATAATTCTCAGAAAGCAATTGAACATTTATATCAAGAACAGCATCTACAGTGAGACTAGCTGGGAAAAATTACAAAGTCTACCAATCGTCGTGCTTCAGGGCTTTAGTGGATCAAGAGTGAGGGGTCAAGAAGTTTTCCCAGTCATGTAGCACAGTATAATCAAATACACTGATGTAACAGTGTGGCTATAGAGTGAGGGGAGGGGCATTTATGTCTGTCTTCTGAACCCTCCAGCACTATCCACTGTCAGAGACAGGCTCCCAGACCAGACAGACCATTGCTGGTCTGCTCCAGTACAGTAACTTGTGAGGAAGGTGTGAGATCTGCTGTTAGTCTGCAAAGCACAATATACCTGGTCCTAAAGGAAAGGCCCTACACAGGAGGCTCCTAGTCTCCAAAAAGATTTCCTCTGGGTAAAGGAGATGATGGATGCAGCTTTCCTGCAATACTGAGAGGGCAAAAGGCTCAAGAGCATCTGGGGAACAGAGACATGCACTAGGAAAATACAACTTGAACACATTTATTTACATATTCACCTCCCTTAAAGGCCATTCAGACGGCAGCACCAAAATACAGATATAAACAGGAGGGAACAGCTATCACCTACCCTGGAGGTTGTGACAAAGCAGGCATCCTGTACAAACAGCATAAAGCTATTTGTTTAAACTATATACAGAATGGAATACAGCACAGGACTCATCCCTCAGAACATGCTGCATGGTATGAGTGTTCAAACACACAGCAATTTAAGATCCTCAGACTCCTTCAAACCAGTGTCTGTTATCAAGCCACTGACCTCAGCATCCCTTCTGCCTTACACCGGGCAAGGTTGCCTCTGTTCCTGTCATCCCAAGCGTCACCTCTGGCCCATGCTGAGTGGGACTGCCTCTAGCTTTCCTCTGCGTCTCACTTGAAGGAACTTAGCTCCCAGGACTCCCCTGTCCCACACTGGGACTTATATACCTGAATGTTGAGCTCAGAATCAGAGCATTAAAGGATGGTTCCAACAGCTGAGTAACCACAACCCATGAGGATCCACACATGCCCCACAGATTACTTGTCCACTAGTTAGTAGTGGGTTTCTCTGCACGGTCTGTGGCACATGAGCTGTGGGAGACAGAGTCAACACTTGATGACTGCACCTTACTTTTCCCAAACTCTATCACCAGCGTTTTCCCCAGCAGGCTATAGCCGTTCACCAGCAGCATTGCTTCCCGTGCAACCTCGACACCTGGAACAGGAGAGTAAAGTGAGCTCAGGTTACAGGGCACATATAACTGCTCTTACAACCAGCTCTGCTCTCAAGCCCACTGGGTTCAAGCACAGACCTCAGGACCATGTGGTCTTCTCCTGACTATTTCTAGCTCATGTGCACTGTTATAAGCTCATCAGTAGAGCAGTGCGTGGGGAATGCCAGCACTCAGTGAACATATGACACTGAATCCCCCTCTTATTCTATGGGAGGGCTGGAATTCGTCAGTGGGGCAGTGTGGGGATGCTGAGGTCAGATAAGCATGGAGGCCAAATTCCCCTTTTACCCCAGGGAGCGTGGCCCTTCCCGGAGCTGACACTGCACCTTCACTCATCAGGAAAGGCCTGCAAGATGCAGCTGAGCGACTCACTGGGAAAGGTGATGAAGGCCTGGCCCCTCATGCGGCCACTCAGCAGACGGAACTGGATC